AAATTAAACTTACCCGCAGTAAGTATTCCCAAACTTCACAGGTATAATAATGCGAATAACATGTTTCTGCTCGAACTTCAATTACAATTCACTTCGCTGAAATGGAAAGCACAGGATTGTTTTTATGCACTGAACTTCCATCAAGACTGACGCTGCGTTATCAATTGGACAAAACGGCCTCTGCATAGTCTCGAGCTGGCTCGAATCTTTCTCGCTGATGACCACATCAGAGATTCGGACATTCCTTTACTCCGAAGTTCTTCATTTAGACTAATTGAAACATATAATATTGTGGTGACTTAGAACGGTCATCATGTTATTCCCAAATACACTGTTCACTGTTTGCACGTTGAAAAGGGACTGAGACAGTGAGATGACAGAGACGCTAACAATATACAGCGCATGGACCGGCCTTTTCACCAATTATTTGGTGAAATCGCTTGAAAATGAGTGATTCTCACATGTTTCATCTAATGATTGAGTAAGAGCCACTCTAGTATGGTTTTCTTGTTTGTTTCATTCCAAAATTTGTGCTATTCAATCAAATTTGTCATAAACATTGTCATAATTGGAAGGAATTGTGAAAATACCCAGATTTCATTGAATATTTACTCAAAAAATTCACTCAGTTGATTAACTCATTACCAAATTTGCAGTCACTCAAAAGGATTTCTTACAGTGTATTCTACCTACTTATAATGAATGTTGAACCGATATTCTTTTGTGTTTCACAATTTAACGGTAAAATTGAAAAAGTCAATTTCAATTTCAATTACTCAAAGCATCCTATCAATCAAGCCAACAAATTATCAGTAATTATATTCCTGTTTTAATAAGTACCTAGGTGTATCCCTGTACATATAATAGATACGAACGACCATTGCAAAAAAGTTAGCCAGGAGGTCAATTTAGCTTATTTATGATAATCTCATGTCTCGAAGATGAAATAATTTCTTTTTTCTGGGACCTCCCAGAAACAACATGCCTATATTATGTTTCATTCATTTGATACTGTAGCTTCAGGTGTTTCTATGATTGATATATTAATGATATCCATTCAAATCGTGATCCCCTATTTTCTCGTCGAAAAAAAAGTAGAGGTGTGGTCTGAAATTTTAGATTTGAAAAAAAATAATTTGGGCGCATTAAACTTTTATACAGGGTGATATGAGACTTTTTTCAATATAAATACATGTCCTAAAATGCATGCACACCCTCTGCCACTGTGAGCTGTGGGCAAAAAAAAGATTATCTGAAATAGTGATCATAATATAATAACAGATCGAGTGCATTCCATTGCGTTCGAAAAAAATTTCGTGACTTGCCATTTCGTTGATAACGATTTTCTGGTAAATGGTTAGTTGTATGAAAAAAAAAATGCAAGAATCCGAATTCTTACATGTTCATGGTCCACAAGATTATGCTATTCAATGTCAGAGTTTCTCTTTTTAAACATGAAATTTGGGCCAGTAAAAGTGTGGCCCCCCTCGAACTCTCCCAAAACTGTGATAACATCCTTTTTGAAGCAAGAAAGAGATGAAGTGTCTAAAATGACACAAGCATACCAATTTTCAGAAGATTTGATCCGCTATTTTAGTCACAATTTCACAGTGGCTGTAGGACACATGTTAATATAAAGAAAAAGTCTTATTTTGATCCCAGCAATAATATTAGATCCTTAACATATTTTACAGCGAATTTTTAATTATTTTTGTTGGACTGAGCAGTTTTTTGTTGAATCAACCAGATACATGATTATTTTATAGAAGCAGCTTGTTCAAATCAAGAATGTAGTCTTATTGAATCAACAGTATAATATTAATTCCATCAACAAAATATAATATGGTTTTCTCAACAACAAATTATGTCGATCCAAAATAATGTCGATGTTGATTCAACTATAAACATTTTGTTGATTTGATAAAATAATGATCATTTTGATAAGAATATATCTTTGAAGCAACATACAAGTTTTCTTATTCAGATGTAGCAATGAACTCGTTTCGAACGGATCATCTGCTTGAATAGAGCAACGAAATATGTAATATCAATGAAATATTTTGTTCATTCTACATCAAGTTACATTTTCGCCACTAGATGGCGATCGTTTCGTCTCTTCTATGCATGCCTCGAATTCATCATATACGTGAGGCCGGATTCTTCGTCTAGTTTGAAATATCAGCTGGATAAATCGAACTGAGGATGATTAGCAATCCGAAATAGTTTTGCATCAGCTGAAGGAAAGTAAAGACTGGAGATCTATGCTAGAAGTCGACAAGTTTCGTTCAGTTTATTCTTTTGATGTGAAATTTCAGAAAACTCCCGAATTTAAACTGAATTTGATTCAACAGAACGATTTGTCGAATGAAAATACAATCTCTCTCGAATCAACGGATATTTCATTGAATTAACCAAATATTTCATTGAATCAACCAAATAATTCATTGAATTAACCAAATATTTAATTGAATCAACCAAATAATTCAATGAATCAACCAAGTATTTCTTGGAATCAACCAAATATTTCTTCGAATCAACCAAATATTTCATTGAATCAACTGAATATTTGATTGAATCAATATCTTGTTATTTCGAATCAAACAAAATGATTGTTTGAGCCAATTCAATATCTCTCCATGAACAATTCATGGATGTGCTTGATTGAATGAGATCCAGAGTTCATTCAAGACAAATTCACTCAATTCAAACTTCAAATTCGCTCTGAAACAAGATAAAGATTCACTCATTTCAAGATTTTATTTTGTCGTGCATATATGACACTTTTATTTGCTTCATTCAATTAAATTTTGCTTGATTCAACAATTCCTTTTTTCGGTGAAGCTTCGCCGTTTTATCAAAGAATGAGTTTTGGAAGAGTGTTGTTCGACATATATATGTTTTGGTAAACGGCCAAATGACGTACTGACTGGGCCTCTGTTGAGTTCGCCTGACTGGTATTGATACTGATGGAATAATAGCAGAAATTTCTGCGGCACATTTCTCGTGGAAGTATCTACAGAAAATAAGTGAAAGGTCGCCTACTATTCTACGGTGTTTAAATGGGGTCAAAGATTTAGTGAGTGTGGCATCACCCACCAGGCAAATTGCTGTTCTTTGTATTTTGCATGACTTTTTGTAGCAAACAGTGCAATAAATAATGAAAAGCAACAGTGAAAGCGAATTTAAAAAAGTGCCTGACCAGGACCACACAAATTTTTAAGATAAACTGGGTCCCGGTAGATTTTTTGCTCAATTTTTGGAATGATGTAGTTCATGTGGTTCTATATAATATTTTCATTGAGCCAACCTTCAAAAATCCAAAAATGGACAGTTTTTTTGCCAGGGGGGTTTGATTTCACATTTTGGTCGAATTGACCATTTATTTCTGAGAAAATGAACGATATTTCAAAACTTTTTAGTCCATTTAATCACTTCTAAAGATAAATTCTTCATATACAGAAATATAATGGGGAAAATTATTACCCCCAACCCCTATTTTAAAGACCGAAAAAAAAAAATGAATTGCATCACGGATAATTATGGAAACCGCAGGGTGCGATTTAAAAAAATTCGGTGGATTTCGCTGAATTTTTGATTAGTTATGATGTAGTCCATATGATTCTGATTAGGAAATAATCGCGTGACAATCCAAAAAAAAATTCAGTTTTTTTGCAATTCACATTTTGAAAAGAATTTGACTACCGCTTGATTCTGAATAGGAAGACAATTTTTTTCAATATTGTATTCCTATTCCTTAATGATTTTTCAATCGGAAATATTGAAGAGCTTCTCACCCCCCACCCAGCTTATGGAAATGTTTAATCACGAGAAATTATATGGAAAAAGCATAGATAAATTATAGATCTATGAATGCCAATAATTCAATATCAGTCCACTCGCCAATTGCGTTGGTCGAAATAATCGTTCGCATTAGTTTTTTGGCGCCACTAGATGGCGATAATATGACTAGATCTAGACTAGACTATTTTGATCAAAATGTGAATTCCCCTTCCTCCTCCCATTTGCTGCATAATCATGCAAGAGAGCTTTTTCCATGTAATTTCTAGTGATTAAACATTCTCTTATGCTTCTCACAGTAGTACGATTTTTTTTTAAGATGGTTGGGTGAGAACCACCCCAATATTTCCGAATGAAAAATCATCAAGGACTAGGAATACAATATTGAAAAGAGTTGTCTTTCTATTCAGAATCAAATGGTAGTCTATTTTTTACAAAATGTGTATTGAATTAGCAAAAAAACTGTCCATTTTTTATTATTGTCTGATCAGAATCATATATTATTATGGACTACATCATATAAAAAATTCATCGAAATCCACCGAATTTTTTTTTTCATTCGCTCCCCCCATTCTGTAGGGGGTAATAATGCAAAAATGCGGTTTCCATAATTATCCGTGATGGAACATTTCCTATATCACTTTTGACAGTTAGATGCAATTCTTTTTTTTTTTGTTCTCAAAATAGGGGTTGGGATTTTTTTATGAAGACTCAATTTTCAGAAGTAATTAAATGGAATAAAAAGTTTTGGAATATCGTTCATTTTCCCATAAATTAATGGTCAATTCAATCAAAATGTGAATTCAAACCCCCTTGGCAAAAAAGCTGTCCATTTTTGGAGGTTGACTCGATGAAAATGAAAATATTTAATGGAACCACATGAACTACACCATACCAAAAATTGAGAAAAATCCACCAGGACCCAATTGACCTTGAAAAGCGGGGTCCTTTCCTATGCAGCAGCTGCAGCTTCTACAGCAGAAATCGATTATTATGAATAAATGCAAAACTTTTAGAGATACCAATTTTTTCGGCCAGATCTCTATAAAATAGGCTCATTGAAAATAACAGGAAAAATAGTTGAATCACCCTGTATATCTTCTGCTGCACCCGCGGTAGCAGTTTAGCAGGTCCGAGGAAGACACCGGCGCTAAACTAACGTTACTTGCCCCTTCTCATACTACGAGGCATACGAGGAAGATACTTTTGAGGCTTGCATGAGCCTCTGCGGTTAAAAAGAAGACGGAAATTACCCGTGAGACAGTTTATCACAAGCACCACGCTTGAGGATCTTGTGGCCAATGTCACAAGAAGAAGTCGAAGATATTTTGGGAAAAGTGTAAGGTAGATTGATTTAGTTAGCGAGTGGAGTGACCTTTTTGAAAATATCAAAGAACGTCTTGTTTTTTTTTTGGCAAAGTGAATCGACTTAGGAGTGGAAATGCGGTGGTTTATTTCGATGGTAAGATATTTTTCCTAATTAAAAAAAAATATACAGTGTGTGCTTTCACTCGCAACAGCTTCCCAATTTGAAATCCGTTGAACGTGAAAACAGAAACTCGATGATTCTTTGAAAATGTGAAAAAATCTGAAATAGTCAAATTTTCAAGGCCTATACTATTGTTTGATAAATGGGTCCAAATTTCTAAAACCGCTATACAGGATGTAATTTAATTGATGGCTGAAAATATAGGATACGGTTCCTTAGGTTAACTTTCGAACTATACGGTATTAAAATTTTGAGAATTGTATTGTTTAACGAGCACACAAAATGATAGTGATTTCCCAATAGAATGAAGTTTGCAGCATGAGCCGTATGCGAACACTATAATTTTTATACGGCTGTAACAGATAATAGCGGCATTTTTTATTTCTTCGTCTTGTAGCCATCTGATGATTTCCTCTCAAGTAATGCCCATCTAGTATAAGTCAAATGATTAGCCAAAATGGTTTTCATTTTTTTACGCGAAAACGCTGAGCAGAATGAATAAAATTCGAAGAGTAAAATTGTTGTTGAAAAAATGAAGGCGTACCTTATCAAAAAAAAATCTTCGTTGTACATCCTATACGGACGCCAATGGTAAATATTATAAAAATCTCCTGCATCAATAAATACCTATTGGTGCTTTTAGTATGTGCCTGTCAAATTTTATGGAAATATCTAGAGCAGGATTGGCGTTATGATAAGAAAACGAAATGTTTTCTTGAAATGTTCACACCCTGTATGACCTCTTGATCTTGAAAGTAGCTGGTGATTCAAGATTCAGAATTCTGATCTGGAACAGATACAGGTAAATGTCAGCAGATATAGTGAATCAAAAGTTGAGATAGGAAAGTGTAAACCGTTTTGACTGATAATGAATAGTTTCGGCACAAAAAAATCCTGAAATTGTAAAATCTCGATATTGTACACCCTATATCTCTGTAATCATTTCCGCTTGAAATCATATGGTAATATTTGAGCTATGCTTGAATCGTTGAATCGTTTTTGAGATTTTGACTCCTTTTTTGTTTTTGAAAGTTGAATCTTTTTTTTTAATTGATTTGAATTGAAAATGTGCGCCAAAATAAGCATCAGATTGAGCATCAGATACTTTTGGATTCAATATACCTATCAATTTCCTTTCACATTGAAAAATTATTTCTTTCATATTTTGGAGAAAAAACATTATTTGTCAAACAATCCACCAGAAACTAAATCACACAACCACTTTTTCTTTTTGTTTATCACCTTTTATCCTCAAATCAAGGTCATAATTCTATTCACACTGGATATTTTTCAAGAAAATTCATTCTCTGGCATTTTTTTTATAATTTCAATAAGATTGTTAAGAACGGTATCTATATCTAGATGGAGAAGTTCATGACTGCCATCACTTGAAAAAACCTTCCCTATGTCACCTCGAGTATCACCTATTCAAACCTCGTATAATATAGGAAGCTCTGATTATGAAAAAAATCATGTAAAAAAATTTAATAGATGGAAGCTTTCATGTAAACAAATTTTTGTCGTCCAAACTCGAAAAAGCGATGCTTGCAGTTGTTTTTTTTTTTTCATTCTACCAACTCAAAGAGCGTTAAAATACTAATACCCTGTATAAGAATTGAACAATTTTTTGAAATATTTAATGTCACACCCTCAGGAAATACCGATCTGGATGGGGGTGAAATTTGAAAAACCCATGTTTTCTAGCGATAGTTTTATGATAGATTGTTCGCTACCATCATGCATAATATGTAAAAAAAATTTCATACATTGCTTGCCATATATGATAATCTAGTATTCAGGCTCCTTATGATATTCTTAGTTTGAATTATATTATATGGATGTAATAGGATTCATTCATTATCTCCAAAACCGTTGATTGTATTTCTTGAAGCCACTTTTTTGAACTAGATACACATACAGAAATACAGGGTTTGCCGTATTTAAGGATGTAATTGAATTTATTTTTGATATTTTTGAGATGGATAGCAAAAACTTTTCATTAATCTGCCAATATATCGTTTCATGCACCAAAATATTCCCTGACGATGTTCTAAATGAATACGAAACGAGAGCTTTCACAGATCAGGTAAATTAACAGAACATTCGTTGACATTGAACTCTGACGATCCCATCATGCATCAAAACTGGTCAGTTATCGATAATGGAATATTGACATACCTTTTTTGGAAGTGCTTCCGCCATTTTTGGACAATGAGGACACGAGGACAGTAAGGGCATGAACTCAATAACCATCACCTCGAAAGCACGTAACAAAACTGTATATTTTGAAGACCTAATAAAATTACCCAGAGATAATAAAAGAGTAGTGGATGATATAGCAGATAATAATATACAGGGTGATTCAAAAGTAAGCGGCATCCTTTCAGAGGCGTATTCCTTGCATGAAAATAAGGCAAAAAGTTCCTATTGATAAGGATCCGAAAATGCTTCCTAAGGGAGCTACGGCCCTTTGAATAGGACACCTCAAAGACGGTTTTTTCTCTATAACTTTAAAATCCTTCACAACAAATTTTTAAAAATTGGTGTACGGCATAAACATTCGATGGTAAATAGGACTCCGTATTCGAAATAATTTCCAAACGAAATCACAGTAACCTGAATATCCGGAGAAGAAGGGATATTTTTACACTTACCCTCTCCCGCATGTGACGCCCCTGAATGAAATTCTGAAATTTCGAATACGGAGTCCTATTTACCATCGAATGTTTATGCCGTACACCAATTTTTAAAAATTTGTTGTGAAGGATTTTAAAGTTATAGAGAAAAAACCGTCTTTGAGGTGTCCTATTCAAAGGGCCGTAGCTCCCTTAGGAAGCATTTTCGGATCCTTATCAATAGGAACTTTTTGCCTTATTTTCAAGCAAGGAATACGCCTCTGAAAGGATGCCGCTTACTTTTGAATCACCCTGTATACAAATATTAATGTACAGTGTGCTCCTTAAAGACATGATAATACTCCAGGAAGTGATTCTTTTACTCATTCCAAGAAGAAAACTTCATATGAACGTGTGTCCTAAAAGTCTTAACTTTTGAGATACAAGGTGACAAAGTTTTGAGAAATATTCAGTTTTTCTCCAGTTCTCCAATCAGGACATCCATTACTGGATAACCACAGTACGTAACATTTTGAAATTTGCATACCAATTCAGTCACATAGCAGACTGGATTTTGTCATCACGAAAAGCTATACAGGGTGGACAAAAAAATATTCTATATACATATTTTCAACAAGTTAGGACGTTCACGACATACTTCCATATGAAGTTTTATTCTTGAAATGGGTCGAACAATCGGCCCCTTGAATAAGCATATCATTAAGGAACACCCTGTATAAGGTGTTGACAATAGTAGATTTGTTTTTCAAAAAATTGATAGAGTATGGTTCAGAAAGTACCTGACATTATACATGGTGAATAAGAACGACAAACTAAGTTATCAGATTCAGATTCCTTACTTTATTTGAAGCAAATATTATCTTGGAAGCGCCTGTAGGAAGAAAATTGATATACCTACTAATCGATATAATAATTTGAAATTCCGATTCTAATTTCCGAAAACCATCAGAATCGCACTTTTTTACAGTTATACTAGCTTTCAGATAACTACAGGGTGATTTAAAATAGTGGTTGCAAAACATTCCAATTTGCTATGAGAAATAGGCATTATATGAGATTGTGACACCTTGAAAATCAAATATGTCAACTAGGAAAATAAAATAACAAGTGTTTTCTTCCTAAACGCCGAGCTGCGCCTAGGTGGTTTAGGAACGCGTGCATTCTTGACCGCTATCTGTTGCGAACCTGACCCAACGTAAACGCATCTTCAATAGTTGACGTTTCTTCGATGCTAATTTTCCACTTTTTGTATAATTTTTCAACCGTCTGAACTGTTTTGAAATGAAGAAAGTTGAAATCGCATGCATTGACATAGGCATAGGATGTACAGTCGTCTCCAGAGATCATGTCGCGGTCTTATTGCAGGATGCTATAATCGTCCATATTCGACATGTTTTCTGAAGACGACTGTACATCAGTATAATTTGTACTGTGATTAGCATACCCACATACTTCTCGGAAACACAAAATAGCCACATCGTTTTTGCAACATTTCAAGTTCAAGTTCCATGGCATGTTCGTTTAATATATAGGTACTGGTAGAACCATCACAACCATCAGTAAAAACGACATCATGCCACAAACTTGATATTTCAGTTTCGTGCAGAATATATTTGAATAAATTACTGTGATTCAGCTGACAGTTACTGCATTTCAGAATTCCAATTAGTATGTTTCTTCTCTTCAGCGTGAGTTCAATTATACAGGGTGACATTTCGACCCCCCCCCCCCTTCTTCAATATCTTCCTTCCAGTAAATACGAATAGTGCGGTCAATTTTATTTTCATGGGGGACATTTGAAATGAATATTGTTTGTCCTTTTGGTTCAACCCCCTAGCAGAGGAGTAGATGTTACCCTAAAAATCTAAAATGAGAAACGGGGTCGAGTGACACATCACTTTTAGCGGCGTTCAATTCTGTTTCCAACGGTACCCTACTTTATCATCTTCTGTTAAGCAGTTTCTCCAGTGAATAATATGAAAAATTGAAGAGGCTGGTCAATTTCTTATTCAAGGGAGGCACTTCAAATGTATTTCCATATGAGCTTCTAAAGGTAGGCAACATCTTCTCCTCCTAGGGAGTATTGAACCAAGAGAGCTAAAAATACGAATTTTAATCTTCTTGAAAAGGAGTATTCTCAGATAAATTATGAACATACAAAAATGGATATATATTTATATAAAGCAATACATTGAGAATTCGCATTCTCTATGTGATGAGAATATCAACTCCTTTTCAGTTTTTTCACTAGAAAACAACTACTTTCCTGGCTATATGCCACGACGAACATTGAATTATATCTATTGAACACACACGATGAGAGTTTGAAAATAAAATATAAAATCTTCTGAAATTGAGAATTTGCATTCTCCTCCAGACAAAAATATGTATATGCACACATCATTCTGAATATTCAACAGAAAACAACTACTTTCCTGGCTTCCTATAAAAGGAGAACATGAAAAATAAAAAATAAAATCTTCTGAAATTGAGAATTGACATTTTTTTTCAAATCGGATGAATAATATGATGCGTATAATGATATAGAAATATAACTTACCAATATATTCAGCATTGAAATGAAAATTGGAATGTATATAGGAGAAGTATACTGGCATAAACTCTAATCTTGATGAGCTTGAAAACTTCCAAAAATAATCATTCATATCTCTCTTATCGTGTGTGTTCAATAGATATAATTCAATGTTCGTCGTGGCATATAGCCAGGGAAGTAGTTGTTTTCTGTTGAATATTCAGAATGATGTGTGCATATACATATCTTTGTCTGAAGGAGAGTGCAAATTCTCAATTTCAGAAGATTTTATATTATATTTTCAAACTCTCATCGTGTGTGTTCAATAGATATAATTCAATGTTCGTCGTGGCATATAGCCAGGAAAGTAGTTGTTTTCTATTGAATAAACTGGAAAAGAGTATATTCCCATCACATAGAGAATGCGAATTCTCAATGTATTGCTTCATATAAATATATTACAATTTTTGTATGTGCATAATTCATCAGAGAATATTCCTTTTCAACACTTTCATACCCAATCAGGGGGTTCAAACTTGAACGATGGAAACTTGTGATTTTTATAGACCTCTAATCGCAGATTCGTGATAGAGTATCAATTCAGAATTTCTTTCCACGCCCTGTATGATGAATGTCAATTTATCATACACCCAAAAGCTTATATAGGCGTTAAACTTTGAACTCAGCTCTCAGGTACTCAAAGTTTCGCTCATGAACATTCATACTAATCATTGTATTGTGTCAGTAATTTCTACTGGTAATTTCAGAACTAAAATTTTGAGTCGGTTGCAATTAAAAATATGGTATTATTACTATCAACATTTCATTATTTTCTTTATTTTGAACATTTCGCCTTTTTCGTAGTTATATTATCACCATAAACCTTTTATCCAATGAGAAAAGCACTAAGTTTTTATTATTATTTAGTTGAGTACCTATACCTACCTGTAAACGTAATTGATTCGATCAAATTTTATAGTTTATCACAACTACCATCCATATGTATCTATAGGTACTGAAATAGTGAAATAACTGTAACACTGGTAACTTGATCTTCCTCAATCGTTAAAGATTCAAGATTACTTGGTATGTAAATTCATCGAATATATTGGATGACATCTAACGGTATCCAGTGATGTATGTGTCGGGAAATATAAATGTCTCATAAATTTTTTGTCAATACTAGGTGTGTACATTTACCGTGCTATTTCTCACTGGTTCCGCTTTAATTTGCAAGTAATATCAGCGAAATGTTCAACGATGTTTCTTTTTTCAGATAGCAATATTATCTGTTGTCAACTGCAGACCCCAGAATGCCCAAAATACTCCAGGAACTACAGTCGAGTAAGTAATTTATCCTCCTTTCTCATTCTATGTATTTTGCTTGGTGTTAATTTTACTAATAAACTCATCTTTATCTATGTGTCTAGACCCTCTACACGTAAACCAAGTAGTGTTCTCTTTCTTCTAATCTAGATTATTCTTCAGGACATGTTATTAGTGAAATTAGTATTCTGTGTCATATAATATACCTAGTGTAGTGTAGTTTTTTTTCTCTTCTATATGGTAAGTCTTGTTACTTACTAATGGATATGGATATTAATGACTACTATACTGAGTAACATGTCAACTATATGAATTCGAAATCAAATATCATTCTCATTCCAAATTTCTTGTTTTAGATTGGAGAAACAATCGATAGTAGAACTGAAAGCCAACAACCCAGATCAGAAAAGTATTGAAGCAAACACCAATGCCATTCTAGAAAAAATAGCAGCAGTGAACAAGAAACAAGGTGTACCAAAGAAGCAATCCACCAACAACTACTTTCAGATTCCCTCCAGTTTTTCCAGGTCTCAAGAAGAACCCAAGCATCGTGATACTCCCCGAGCGGACTTCAGATTTCCTACAAACCCCTTCAGCAACCCTATATTCGACTATCTGGAAAGAGACAAACAATCAGATGGAGATGAACGCGAGCACCAAACGAAGTACGCCGTCACGAACAAGAGACAGTCACAACAATATCCGTATCCAGTCGGCTATGAAGTTTCATCCACCAATCACAACGCGGAAGTTGCGGAAGAAGACTTGATACCAGGACAGTACGTGAAACGAAAGATAGTACACCAACAGTCAGTGTTAGTTCCGAATCCTAACTACTTTGGTCAACCCATGATGCCACCAAACTATCCTCCGAATAATATGATACCCTATCCCATGCAAACACCTTTCCTTATGCCAGGTTTACCAATCGAACATCCTCAAATTGGGGAACAAAACAGTACTGGAGAGCAAACCATCATGAGTGATTTAGAACGACAGACTATCGATAACATAAAAAACATCGTATCGAATTCTCAGCTGAGGAACCCAGTGTATCCAGGGTATTACAACCCTTATGAGCAGCAGCAAATAGGAAATAACCCGAGCGAACTCCAGTATGGTTTCTTAGATCCCAACAAAGAGGTTCTTGGTCAAGCTCCAGCGCAGAATCCTGGCTATCAGATTTACGGACCGTTTCCACTACCCAACCAAGAACAAGCTCGCCAAAACTGGAACTGGCCTGGAGCTAACTTCTTCCCTATTTACATCAAAGATCCTTTCCTTCAGATGTACAATGCCGTCACTAGTATGATAGAGTATGGCCCTAACGCTGGTATGCAAAACCCTTGTCCTCTGTCCAGACCAGCTAACAAGAATAAGCTGAAAACAGAGGCTTTGCTGAGAGAAGGGAAAACTGCTGATACAGACAGCACGAAAATTAGCGTGGAAGTTAATGGAGACAGTGCCTCTCCTGAAATTACAATCAACGGGCTGAATTCCCCAGACAACAACGGTTCCTATCTAGACATAGAGAACCTGGACATAGGCACTGGCAAAGACAACAGCATGAAGTTCACGGTGAGCGTCAAAACTGAAGAAAGAGTCGGCAAAGACTCTTCAGAACCGAGATCCACTTGGGACAAAGTCAAAGTAACTGGCAAGTCTAACTCCCTGGTGCTTAACTCTTCAAGACAGAACGGAAAAAACCAAGAACTCCCAAAAGATATGAGACCTATCACAATCTTCAAGAACCAAATGCCGCCTAAGCCTACTCAGACCGTTTTGTCCCCTCCGATTCGTGATCCTACCCACCAGACTGATGAATTCGGAGACGAGAGTGAAGAGGACGATAAAAGCGAAGAACTGATCTCCAACGACCACAACAAGAAGTTATTCAGCAGGGACAACACTGGAAGTGGTGTCTTCATACATAAGCTGAAGGTCAGGAAAGGTGGGGTGGCTATAGCTGGACCAGGGGGTATAGCTACAGCTGGCAGCGGAGGCACTGCTATTGTGGGACCTAATGGGATCGCTTATACACAACCTGACAGTTTGGCCATTGCTGGTTCTGGAACGAAGGTCATAGCTGTAGATCCAGCAGTCAATTTGGGGGAACTGGTTAATAGTACCTTAGGTGGGAATAGAACGAGGCTAGAGGGGCTAGCTCATTCTAGGGTTGGGAAAGTAGTAGCTGTAGGGCCAGTCGTTTATTATAATAAAGGTTAGGCTTTTATTGAAAGAAGAATGAGTTCTTTTTGTATATACTTATAAGCAGTAATTGACTTTTTGAGGATTCAGTTATGCCCATTTGATCATTTGTTAACATATCCATGATTCAGGATGAAATCCGAAAATTATTGTTTTATCTGATTCAAATTATATAATATGTATCTATAATTCAGTATTGTAGCCTCCAAAATTGGTCTTATCAAACTCTTTTTCCAATTCGAATAATGAGGTATGTATGCAGATATATTGAAGATTTGCTAGGAAAGAGATGCTTGAAGCTCAATTAAAAATGCCTTATCTTGTCAAATAACTAGAAGTAATTAGTATCAGTTAGAGAGTGTTGTGTTGAAAAAATATATAGAAGATGCTTTAAATTTTTTCCTGCAATGGTGGGATCGTCTAATGACATCAGGAAAAAATATATTGAATGATATAAGATACTCAATGTCTCAATGTCTACTATTTTATATAAATTCATTAAATGAGCAGTTAGGGATTATGGATTAGACATTTAACAATAGATCAGTATAATAAGATAATTATGTCTTCTTTCAAAGTCAACATTGGACTGCTTCACAGTAGGTGAATTGGTATTGGTCAGTTATATAACTGTGTTGTGATCTTCATAAATAAATAATATTACTTCAGAAATTGTGTTTTTTTAATTAATTATTTTAGTATAATTTAGTTGTTTTATAATTTTTGTTGTCCCTTCACTGAATATCGAAATTCGTCAGAGTACCAGTGCAACTTTTAGACATTATGCATTACTCATTACTCGTGGCAAGAGTAAATTTCATTTTCAAAACCTAATCACCGATTATTCTTCATTTTTTTCTCAATTCTTCGATTCAAGATGAAGATTACAGAGTTGCCACATCATGAAAATATGTTTTACCTAAATCATCCGTGAATTGTACTAGATTCAACAAAAATTTACCCAACCCAAAAGTTAAAAAACAAATGCAATAGGAACCTATTTATTCCTCCTCTGCCTATCCTCCGAGGCACGTACGATGTTCTTCGAACATTATACGGATTTCCTTTCTTGCGCTTCACAGGATAAAAAAGCAGAAATTTCGAAATGGAGTGTGCGAAAAATAAAAATACAGGGAGGAATCAGTTTTATCTACTGAACGCCATCAGGACATGTAATACTCATCAGTGAAGAAAATGGCCTATATTATGTACATAGGTAGGTAAATGCTTCGTTATCGCTAGCGCTATAAATAATAATCTTTTCATAAATAATTCGAAGAACCTTACTGTGAATTTATTGAAACTAGGTGGGTCTGTTTTGAGAATATTGAAGAATATTTTTTTTGAGAAATCATAACACGCCAGTTTTTTTAACTTTGTATCAGGTGCTTCTGACAAAATTGGTGTGTGATGTGCACAAAATAAATTGAACTTCCAGCGGTATAATGTAATTCACAAGAAAAATGGCTTCATTTTGGAAATGTAGAACCAATTGTACTTTTATTGAAGAAATGTTCCAAATCTGGTACAATTGTAACCCAAGAATATTCGATTTTCCAAACTTGATTAAAAAATGACGAAAAAATGATCATTTGTCTAGTTTTTATTGAAATGTTTGTGGGTGGGTCCTTCCGAATTGATGAGATCAGTAGAGTATTGCCTGCCAAATCGTAACAAGAAATGGGCACAGGCTTCAGAAAATATTTCTGGGACACCCAATCATCATCTCTCATCTGAATCTCTCAGAAGGATCGTGGAAACAAGCCTTTAATTCCGAAGTGTAGGGAATTTTCGTAGATTCCGAGAAATGCGTGGAAGTAACGCCCTCTTTTGACGGGAAGACAAACTAAAACAGCAGTTATAGACTCACTCTTCCATAGCATTTTAGCAGTTAGTAGCGAATTATAATGAATTCTGTTTGTAGTTTGGTTTCATAGTTCAGGCACTGTTGTATCGAAAACATGTGATAGTAAGGGAACTGATTAACTTGAAATGCATTTTAACAAAATAAAAAAAGAGTATCCAAGTCGTTGAGTTAATCTGAGAAGAAAATTATTCGTTTTTGATAAAAAGGTCTGTTCGTTAATTTTACGGCAAAACTCTCTTATGATAACATAATTTGAATTGAAAATTAGAGCTTTATGTCAACTTTCGTTGCATTTCAAGAAAGTAACGATAGAAAGTACTCACAGCAACCGTGATTTCTGTGTTAACCTGTACTAACCCCTCTTCAAAATTTTCGAAACGAACTAATTTTCCTGTTTTTTATTTTCCCAGATTGATTCCATTCCCAAACGGGCTACACATCCCAAAATGGCTTCCACAAGTGAATCACCGATTACAATACTTTGGAAATCATCAATATTCCCCACTATCAGCTCCCAATACCAATTTTCCATCACCAATAACCAAATCTAGACGAAATCATTTTTTGGCGAATGACAAAGTATACATTAGAAATGAAGACATGGCAATACTGATGATACCTTTCGAAAACAGTCAAGATTCAAAAGGTAAGATGGATATGATCAATCAAGCAGTACCTGTGAGTCCTCTGAAAACAACTTATTCACAACCAGTCATATCTTCGATGGAAAAAATAGTAAGACTCAGTGCCCAAACTACTCCAACTGAGAAAGAATCAAATGAAATTCAGCCTTCTCTGGCTCCATACAGATTCCATCCACTCTTCCACTATTTGAAAAACGGAAATACCATTCAGAGAGAGCGCATTATCAAGTTCAGAAACGAAGATAAGCCTTCCGGTGACGTCACCACGTTGATCTTGAAACCTGTGGCTCGATCATTAGCGGGTCCAGACGGCCAAGCTATTTCTACGCCTTTGTCCAAGGCTATTCTGAGACAGGGCACCAACGTGGACATCCTGTTTGAACCGGAAGCGGTAGCCATTGCTGGACCGGGCGGGATTGCGCATGCTGAGAGTGATTTGGAGATTACTTATGAAGATTTATGAGGAAGATTTCAATCAATGATGTTTTTGTGACGTTTTTTGTAAATATATGTAAATAATTCGAACTGATTATGTAAATAAAGTTTTATTTTTGTATAACATGAAGCGAAGTGATTTATTCTCTCTGAGTGCTAAGATGTGACAGAATAGTTGAAAATACCATATTCAAAACATTCAGCATCAGTTGAGTGGGTGTATACCTGTTACATCTGAGAACAATTAATACGCATACTCCTATTCTGAAGTTTTTGGAGAGAAGCAATATTATTATTACAGCAGACTAGCACAGTATTCATAATGGCGTTGGATGATTGTTCTATAAACTGTTATAGAATAGAATAGAATAGAAATAGAATAGAATAGAAGTTTATTCGTGCAGTACATACATAAAGTGTTTGCATACGTCAATAGTAATACATAGTATTAGTATAAATCAAAATCAGTATAACAAAAACGAAAAAAAAAACATTGTACAGTGAATATACAGTCAAATACAAAACTCTTGGCAAAGAATACAGACATAAAAACAGAGATGAAGCAGTACACAAAATATCTGTTATAGTTAAGATAATAATAATATAATAATAATAATAATGTTTATTTCGACAGAATCAGAATACAATGGAAGAAATTATGAATGAAGAAAAATTCAAGAATGTAAAAAACTTATATCCGAAATGACCAAAATGCATAGATATAAAAATAAGTGAATTAACTCAGGTGTTGAACAATCACAAACTTCGGAGACGTATTTATAAAAAAAAATAAAAAAATAAAAAATAAATCACATGAAGTTTAGATGCTTGTACACTAAAATGAGATGTGATTGTAGGCAGAAAAAAAAGTGTTTCACTAATTTTTTTGGCAGCATAATTGAAATGATTTTTAAATGACATGGTGTTATCAAAAATGTATTTCATCTCTGTGACGACTTCAATTTTTTCATCATATATTTTTATATTAATCTGGTCTATGTCGATTTTACTATATATTTATATTTAGAATTCATAATCATTGCCATAGTTTTTTGGACATTTAGCTTCAACTTATCAATATTGAAATATTCTGATATGTTGTTCAATGAGGTTCAATCAGGAAAAAATATTAAATTTTTTTTCTAAAAGCATATAGGGTGTTTCATTGAAAATAACGAAGTTGGTAGGTACGCATTTCTTATATCAGCGATATTCATTTGTTTCACCTCGTACAATTTTCTGTAGATTCAGAACAAATCCTTCAACTTTTCTTTTCGAAGTTTTATTTCTCAATCTTCAATGATGGACCCTGTACAAGCTGTTCAAATATATATACGGAATGGCAATGTATACCTACTGCTGAAACTAATCGACTTTTCTTATATAGACATCAACAGACGAAAATCACCATCTTACCATTCTACGGAGGTGCTAAGGGTCAATCTCTCCAGATAATAGAAACCCCCGACGGCCAACTCACCACCAACATCATAAAGTCACCGGAAACCCCCTTGGAACCCCCCGAGAACGCCATTGACCCCTCCGAACTGGAGAACCCCTCCCTACCCTCCAAAGAAGAGAGAGATGATTTCGGCAGCAGCCTCAGGAAAATACAGAAGAACACCAAGAAAGTTGTCGAGCTACAGGAGATCGTAGAAAAAAACGGAAAGCTGACCCCAGAGCAGGACACCCTGTATAAGAAGACCATGGAGGAGCTGACTCAAGCAGTGGAGAACTTGAAGCTGCTTCAAGAAGAAACCAACCCCCCGGAGCTAGAAAACAGGGAAGGTCTCAGCGCATGGTTTGAAAGGAAAACCAGCAACAAAAACAAGGCGAATAAAAAGAAAGAAGAAGAAGAGAAAAAGAAAAAAGAGGAGGAGGAGAAGAAGAAGAAGGAAGAGGTCAAGCGCAAAGAGCAACAGGAGCAGGACAAAAGGAGGGAGGAAGAAGAGAAGAAGCGGAGGGAAGAGGAGGAGAAAAAGAAACTTGAGGAAATCAAGAGGAAGCAAGAGGGAGAGAAGCCAGAAGAGGGGGAAATTGAGGAAGAAGGGGACAGTGATGATACGGTGGGGGTCAACTTGCCTCCAGCAGATGCTTCTGTTGCTGAAGCTAAACCTGTGGGACTCGCAGTAGCAGGTATGATGTTTGCTAATATTTTGGTTCGTTCATCTTAGTTGAAGTTCTCAAGAATGATTTTTTTATAAATCAAAGTTGTGGAAATAACTTTTCATCTACATGAAGTATAAGATGTTAGGTGGATAAGGTGAAATCAAAATTTATTTAAAACTATCTTTTGGCGCCTGGACTATTTCTGATATATCAGATTCGAAATATGAATCATGGAAATGTATATATCCTCAATGTTTCAGGGGAAGGGGGAGTAGCAGTGAGCAAACCCCTCGCGACAGCAGTGGTGGGACGGGGGGGTATGGCGATAGCCCGCCCCATCGGCACTGCACTGGCAGGAGTAGATCCTGAACAGGATCTGGTCCCTATCTATGCCGAAAATTACGTATTTGCTGGAAAACCGAAACCATCATCAGGAAATAAAGACTCTGCCAGCGAATATCTGAACAGACTGATCAGCAAATATCATCAGAAATGATATGAAAATATCAACGAATAATTAAGTTTATTTATTTGATAACTTATTCAGCCATAACTTCGTGCTATTCGACATTTGTTTCTATAATAATTGCCATAGGTATTCGATTGAGCCATATTTATTATAGTTTGATGAAATAAAGTCCATGTTTTTTTATTCGTTTTGATTCCTCAAGTAGAACACGTATTCTTGTTCCAGTCCGTAGACCAAGAATTCATCATCAAATGTTTCCAAGGACTTCCCAATTCTCCTTAATTACCAAAATATCCAGTATCTTCTTTCTAGACCTTGTCATTCTTTTTATTTTGAAAACGAAGAGGTTTCATCAGACCATACACCAACAAAAACATGAAAAAAAATACCTACAGCATATCCATATGAAATGAAGAAGATGAAAAAAAAATCGGTAGGTAAAAAAACTTGGATGAAACAAATACCTACCACTGGAACTGATTTTTCATTTTTATTTGTATTTAATAGTATAGATATTTACCTGATGCTCATTGATTGAGTAATTGAAAATTTGCTTGCTATTCACGCAAAGTTAGTCATGATTTTCTTCTTCATTTACCCATATTTCTGCTGTATTTATAATTAATTATAATTAGCCTACAAGGTTTCTCAACATCTATTTTGTCGATATTCTTCTTACTTAGATAAATAAAATATGGAATAAGCGTGCATGGCTAGAAATGTCAAGATAACCCTGATGATTTTCTTGATAGTATGTATTTTAATCAATTAGTTTTACGTAAGCGGACATGAGTTTAAAATTGTACTCATATACCCAGATTCCACTGAATTTCCTCTGAAAATATTTATAGGTAGTGTATATTATGTATGTAGTACCTATATAACACCGAAAAAAAGGGCTGATTCCTTGTGATATTTCAGGAAATACAGTTCATGTGTCCTAACTTGCTTCGTTTTCAAAATACAGGATGTTGAAATTGGGAGTATTAATTGTTTTTATTTATAACTCACTTCTTGAATTTTATCGGTGGTATTTAGATACACCCTGTATAAATGTCCATTATTGTACTTATGTCAGAAGGCTCTTCCACTCATATATCACAATTTCATCGTTCTTCTTTCTTGGTGATAAAAGATACTACAGAAGTTATCGAAAAGTATTTTTTTTTCAGCGATACTCTCGAATTTTAGCATTCTTTGACTGGTAGAATCAAAGAGAATGATGGGAATACTATTTAAATGTTGGTTTAATATCCTCTGATCCAGAGAAAACTCAAAAATTCAGTTGAATTTGGTTCAACCTGTACTCATCTTATTGAATTATGTGTAACTGCACCTATAAATAAATTATATGAACCTCTTCATGATAGATGGGTATACGTACCTGAATATATTGATTCAATTGAATTTCATGCAAATTCATAGAATCTTCCATTTTTTATAAATCATACCTATTATACCTTCTTGTTCTTTCAGCTATCTCGTACAAATACGCCATTTAGTATTGATAGTAGCATTTCAACCATTGACCTCAACAGAAATCATCACGAGAATATTAATCTGATAAACTTCAGTATTCTCCGTATGTTTTCTTCCATAAAAATGACAAATAAAAAGCGTGGGAAAACATTATTACGTGAACTATTATGTTTTGGTAAAAATGAATTCAATAATTAGGTATCTCAATAAGTTACGATTCAGTCAAACACCCTGTATGTGGTAGACAAAGAAATATTAGTTTGGGAAGGGATTGGGTGAGGTGAATACATTTTGACTATGGTCATCTATGGTATATCCCAAGAGCGATAGGATGAACTAGTTTGTCCTAGTCTAAACTACTTCGTAATACAAATCAAGCTGATTGATAAAAAATTCAATGACTATGTATGTTCCTTCCTCACAAAATATTAGAATATAGGAAAAACTAGTTTATCCTGAAATCGGGTTTGTCTAGTAAAAATACACTTTGACTTTGTTGAGTATAAAAAAGTATCAGTTCAGAAATATGTAAAATAGTAGACACATAGGTACTCTACTTCTAACAAACCATGCATCACTTGTTCATTCATCTTAAGTATATATTTTTTGAATTAACTAAAATTTACTATGTTTGAAGTATTTTGTGTTGTAAGTCTGCTCTACTCTTTTGCTATACTAGTGTTTGTGCTTATGCGCATAATTATTCTGAGAACTATTTGCTTATGAAAAATTGGTAATTCCAGTTTCAACAATTCAGGTCATAAGAAAAATGAATCAATATATTATCGCTCGATCTAGCCACAAGCGAGTATATGTACCGAATAATAATAATTTGATCAGCCTTTCATTGGAATATGAACAATATGATACATTCCGACATTTTCAATTCATAAAAAGCAATCATGATCCTGATAGGTACCGTCATCTGAGTTTTTATGAAACGATCATGTTCTGGAAAATCACAACGCATCAACATATTCGTAGTTATTTGACGGGTATACAAAGGAATATTCTCTATGGATTTCAGATGTTTTTTGGTACACCCTTCTATCTTATTTTTGGATTTTCGGCGTTTTATATAATCCTTGGGCACTGGTTATATGAAACAAATCATCTTTACTTCATACCCTCGTGAAAAATTGAAATTTTGTTACATTCAACTTTGTGATGGGTTATATGGAAAAAGTGGGATGTGGGATATTTTTAATGAATTTAAAAAAACGTAAAAGAAAACATTAATTGAAGACAAAAACATCGTTTCATTGTTTCACATTAAGATTCTGGGTATACAAATAAATAACATACATAAACCTCTGAAGAAATTAAAAAAAAAAACAGAAAAGAGATCTTGTTCACATCAGATTATATCATAATTTTAAATCTTAAATCAAGTCACCACTCAATTTATAAATTTTTCTTGTACCATGTCACAATTACATATTACATTGACATATTTTATACTTTTTCCCGACGAGGTGTAATGATTCCAATCATGACAAAATTTACAATGGTAGTTGAGTACATAAGTACAAATATTGTTCTCAAAGAATTGAGCGTGCTAGACTATGGGTTTTTGAGATACAGATGAGACTATGAAAATAGATCAGGAGTGGAATAGATTTCAATACTGATTTGAGTTACTTAATTTTTGATTTTTGTAATGAACAATAACACCATATCAGTCCTTTGCTTATCATGATGGCTTATCTGGCAGACATTTTGACCAACAGGTTAATCAACATTGTGAAATTGAAATTACCAAAGCGCCAAGTTAAAAAAATTTACCTGATGTTTCATATAAACCCTTGCCGTTTCATATATTCTAAGATGACGGTATAGAAGTTACATAGTGAAAATACTTAGTATCTATCTATTCTGTTTGTGAAACAACTACTATACGAGTGGATTGATTTGAGTATACCTACCTATTATGATTATGAAAGTGTATTTGTTTTTAAAACAAATTCAGATGAAATCCTGTCCCAGGAACTTCCCAATTATATTCAAATCAAAATCGGCTTAGCATCGACTTTCGATTGTTTTTCGACCACATGTGTTTAAATTAAACCTTTCACACCCTGATTGCCCACGTAGTACCAAATTATTTGATTTGTCACGATATATTGTTCAGTCTGACTTGATTGTTATTGATGTGACAAACAAGAAAGAGAATTGAATGACTTTCAATTCATGAGCAAAATATCACACTTCAGAGGATGTTTGAGACTGATGTCTGGATGAATATTATGGACATGTATTTTCATTTCAGATTTTCCGGACACCCAGTATTTAGTGATAGCCTCTCAACCACCTACTTATTCGTGTTTTCTGTGGAAAATGCGCAATTTACTATCGATATTCATTTATTCTCTGATATTCAACTAAAAAATAATAAAACAAACTTATTTTTTGGCAGAAATGCTGAATGTTGTTAGAAAAGCTTGCGAAAATTTGCAGTTCTTTGTCATCCACTTTCATCAATATACAGGGTCTTTCATAGGGTCCGTAACATAATGGGGAAATAGTTTATTATCATTTATCAAACTTTTTTCCCACGGAAAAAAACGGTATTGTTGAATCAAGCAAAATTCGATAGAATGAAGCAAACATAAGTGTCATAACTGTCATATATGCACGATAAAATATAATCTTGAAATGAGTATTGTATATTGTTCAACCACATGCGAATGCTACATTCATTCGATTAGCAAACTAGCATTCCGTGACAGACAACAAAGAATATTCTATGAATGTTCTCAAAACCTTCAGAACATACCTCCTTCAGAATATTCCGAAGAATTTTCATAGAATATATGATGAAGATGTTCTGAATGTTCATAGAATGTTTAACGAGAATATTCATGGAATATTTCTTCTGAATATCCTAGAAAATTCCATTATATTATGCATGTTATTCAGGAATGATCATATAGAATGTATATTGTTCGAATGTTCTGTAGGTATCTCCATAGAATATATATCATCTGATTCAGAAAAAAATGATTGTTTCCCATGAACATAATATCCTAATTTGCTTTGTTTTTTAGATAATGGGAGTCAAATTTCACAGAAAAAATCGATATATAGATCATTCTGATATACATGGTGATTCAGATTTAAAGGAACAAACTGATCTCGATCAGAAGCGGAGCTACAGGGGGTCTGAGTTTAATTATTTGTTTCTATTAATTTATATATCTCGCTCACTTTTGAAGATATCAAGTTGAAATTCAGTGTGGTTGATACTTTCTATAGAAGATAAAAACTTTAAGCATCTTATAGATTTTTAAAATCTACAGGGTGATTCGTGTTTGGGGGTAGAGGCTTCCTTATCCCCCACAAACTTTCTCGTTGTACGTCTCGGACATCTTGCAGTTAAGAAATTCAATATATCGTTCAATTTCGAGGCTTTTTCTGCTTATAAATTTTTTTCGCGAAACCAACCGTTTTCGAAATAAATAAACATATTGGTTCCAAAAACATGTTAATTTTACCAGTATTGCTTCTCTTAAATTTCATTATTGGATAACATTCGCAGAAAATGCAATAACTGGATCATTAGCGGAGATACAAAGGATAGAAAGGTTTTGTTAGTTTTTGAAGTTTCAGAACGGATTTGCTTATTTATTTCGAAAACGGTTCATTTCTCGAAATGAATTGAAGAGTAATAAAAGTCTCTTGATTGAACAATTCACATAATCCAGTATCTAGATGATGTCAAAGGTGTACTACTAAAAATTTTGGGTTGGATAAAGAAGCCTGTACCTAAAAATGTATGACCCTGTAGATTTTGAAAATTCAAAAAATGCTTAAAATGATGATCTTTCAGCAAGTACCAATCTCACTGAATTTCAAATTGATATCCTCAATAGTGAGCAAGATATTTCAATCAATAGAAAAAAATAATTGATCTTTGACCTCTCGTAGCTCCGCTAGGTACTGATCGAGATCGGACTCATGTTTATAAAGCATTTTTTTATTACACACATTTCAGTTTGTGCCTTTCAACTTGAATCATCCTGTAAATTCATATAAAATGTTCTGAAATATATTATGAGAACATTGATATGAGAACGTTCTTGGAACATCAATTTTCGTCCCGTTTGCATGTTCTTATAGAATATTTTCAGAACATTCAGTGCACCTTCTGAGAATATTCGAAATGTTTCACGGAAATATTCTAAGATTATTCTCAGGATCACTTTGTGCTGCCTGCGTTGTCGCGGATATAAGAAGCCCAACGATAATTCGATAATTTCGGAACACCCTGTATAGCGGAGTGTGGCTGATGGTGCTTCGAAAAAATCAGATGACATCACTGGGTGGTGGTCGACGAAACATGACGCCAAAAAGACAAATAAAAAATAATCGAAAAAAAAATGATTCACTGCAGTCTTGCGGTTACTTTGAAGACTCCTCCCCTCCTCAAATGACTTATAAGAGGTCGATGGTCCTCCTCGAACAAGGAGTTGCTTCTTTACTCTCGTGGTGCCACAGGTGAACGGGTAAAACGATAAAAACGCGCTGTTCATGTCATAATATCGATCGATGAATTGTTGATAGTTATTGGTAAGTTATTGATTATAATATTCAATAGAAATGAAGTGGCGTGAATCACGAAGAGACGAAAGCTCTAAGTAATCTCCACGATATTTAAGAAACATGTTTCGAAGTCTTAGAGTCCATCCTCAGCCGTTCAAAGTCAGTTTTTCTTGGGAAGATAGAAATTGTCACTATATTATTTGATACTATCTACATTATGTAAGTTATATACCGTTACTTACCGCATGGCGTGATTTTTTTATAGAAAACTGATAATAATTAGAGATATCAATTACAGGTTGCTCATTTGAATTTATATATCCGACGTTGTTTTCGACAATAAGCTTTACTAACCCCGATGCCCTATATACAGGGTGTATCTAAATAACACCGAGAAAATGCAAGGTGTGATTCCTTGTGATATTTTAGGAAATAAAGTTCCTATGAACATGTGTCCTTGCTTCGTTTCCGAGATACAGGGTATTGATATTTCCATGAACGATCGTTTTTTTATTTATTACTCAATTGTTTCTTCATCAATTTCAATAAAACGTTGTTGTTGTCAGAATTAAGATACATATTTATAGGAATAACAGTACGAAAAAATATTTGGGTACTTCAAATATTTATTCTTTTAAAATAATTGATGATTAGCTCAGTTGTTGTTGTTTTGGAGAAAAATTTCGTATACCTATACATGGGTTAGTGGAATAATCAACAATGTAAATTTTGAGTTGAGCGATCTTCGGATGTTTTTTTTGTTGTCTGCTATTTAATTTTATTATAGACGTATCCTGAATTTTTATTGGATAACGGTATAGTTTATATAGATACCCATCACTAGCTATATATGAACTGTGTATATAGGATTCTTTTTTTTTCAAAGACATTCATCATTCAACTTTCATGCTGAATCTCAATATTTTCACCAATAAAACGAGCATATACTATCCTAATATAATGAGTTCATGAGTTGAATCATAAGTAACTATATAACAAGTTATATAGTATATAACTGTTCTATTGAGTATTAATAAAGTTGAGAATATTTTAGAAGCTTTTGAGTGATGGTCAGCAATAATATAAACAGAACTTGAACGAGAAAAATAGATATTTTGATATAGATGTTATTTTTCTCAAATTATACAAGCATCAACGGAATATTCTTGGAGACTCCAATAGGTGATAACGCAAGAAACCCCAATTATAAAAAGAATAATAATAAGTATTACCAATGCATATAACAGGTGGGTCAAAAGAAGTCATCCGATGTTGTTCGGCTCTCATATTTCTTTCTAAATGAAAAACTTCGCTCCTGTTTTTTTATTCTGTTTATTTGAAACTTTACATTCCTGTTAAACCGGTGAACATGAATTAAAAAACAGAATCGAAGTTTTCCATTTAGAAAAAAAAATTAGAGCCAAACAACATCGGATGATTTCGTTTGGCCCGCCTTGTATATGAAAATTATAAAGTGACTGATTAGAGAACTCGTTTATATGTTAATAATAATATGTTTACCTAATTTAATTCATAGGTATAATTGATTCAAAATTTACAGGTTTTATCAGATCGGATTGTTGTCGTAGGTATAACGGTCTTATAAAATCATTGATGTCTAAAATTGAATCGGAAACATATAATTATTTATTTATTGTTGACGACAAAACTAGACCACACCGGTCTTGAATATATAATACCTATATATTTCTGACGGTTGGGTCAATGATATCTATATGAAATTTCACAAAATTGTACCTCTGTGGTTGAAAAATACATCAGGCATCTTCTCCATATTTGATGATCAAATAAAAAATGAAGATAAATTTTGAATTGAATATATTATGTTCAATACATTTTGAAGGGACCACACTTGGATGTCCCATCAGAGTGGCTTGCTGATAAATAAGAAAAGATGAAATCTTGCACTTTTTTCATTCTCTCAATACATCAATCAATCAAAATATGAATGCAGTATGTCAAAAAATAACGGTAAATCTCAAAAGTGTATTCTCTTTGATGAGAGCGAGTTCTTATACAAATTCAGAACATTATTACCTATAGTTAAACATACACGGTTCAGCGGAAATCATGGGTTTTTTTGGGAAAAAATATTGCTCAATTCAGTATTCTCCACGGAACATTCTTTCATAATACTATATTTTGTCACAACATACTTGTTAAACTTGATTGTAGCATATAGTAATCACTTCCAATTATATTATTGCAGCAATGCAGCAAATGTCGAATTAAATTGATTAAATTATTGATGTTGGCTGTGTTGCAATCCACAAATTGGAGGGTTGTCCATCAGTTTCTTGAACTTGTACATTACAAAATTGTATAGTTTCAACTTCAGTGATCGTTGATATACCTATACAAGGTATTCAGTTTGTGGTGAATTCATTCCTCCTTCTTCATCGCAAGAGATTAAGAAATCTTTTGAAATCCGAATGACTTCTTTAAATTCTTTGTTGCTAATGTTGTGTGCATTTTTTTAATCAAAAATATTTTAGGACAGGTCAATTTTTTATTTTTGTACATCACGTATACAAGAGAGAGATTGCTGAACTCTCGAAAGTTATGTTCACTCTATAATATAAATGAGCCAGTGTAGTACAGAATTTTTAATACAACTTGACTCAAGGAACCGAATTTCCAAAAAGTTTTCAATAGATTCTCGATTATTTTGCAGAGGAAATGTTTCATCTACTCATTCTTACCGCAACTTTTGGCTCGGTACTACCACTACCGCGTCAGGCCATCCAAAATCATGAAGATTCGCATAACCTGAAGCCACTGCTGTTCCTGATCCAAAGATCCAGTCCTCAGCAACAGCAGCAGGTCCAGCACAAGGAAGAGAGATTGGCAAAACAACAACAATTTGGTTTTTCCTCTCCTTTATCCTTCGGAGGTTTCTCTTACTTCGAACCGCAGTTCAGGTATCCAGGGATCAACCAACATGGTTTCCCTAGGTAAGTTAGACACATAGATCTCCACAGCACTGAAAGTCGTGAAAAAAGACAGAAAAGCACAAGATTTGGATTATGGAGTCATTGTGATATCAGATACGGAAACAAAATTGTCTTCCTATTATTGATCGTAGAAGCCGGTGGTGAAGTTTGGCAGGCTAATTTCGGGACACCCTGTATTGATATCAAACTTTTACCAGGAATATCTATCAGCATTATTCAAGAAAACATTGTTTTCGTTCGCAACTATGCGGAATACGAAATTTTCACAGGGGTAACAAAATGAAGAAAATTAATCAGTCATCTCGCTTAAAAAATTGAAGAACCCTATTATCACTCCTAAGAATGTTCTGAAAAAAATGTCAAGGGGTGAGGGTGGTTTCAACCCTTCTACAATATCTTTCGGGATCCTTCGATAACCGAAAGAATAAGAGTTTCCTCTAATATGCACTGCTGTCAAATTTCATCCAATTTGTTACACTCATTTTCGAACAGCGTACAAAAATGTTTTCTTTATGTAGACTTTGAACTCGTCTCACGGACAAACGGTACATTTTTTGAATAAATTAGTTAGGTACAATCAACTTATTTTGAACTGAATCACACGGGGTAGCTCTGTGTCCAAGCAATTTTGGGACACCCTGTATCGACATAAGACAATATACGACATGATATTTATTTAATGATAGCCGTTTGGTATGAAAATATGCGATTTGATTTCGCAAATTCAAAATTAGTTCAATGTTCTACGATATGTCGAAATTTCAATGAACTTCACATGTCTCTTGAATAAAATAATGAGAAACCCAAACAGAATATTCATGAATAATTCAAAATAATTCACTTGCATATTTTACATACGTGCATGTCAGCTTATTTGGTCAATGACAATGAAGATATATGAGTTTAGAGTTTATATAGTAGGCAGTAACAACAATGGTGCAGTACCTAACTAGGTGACGATGATATTGCGAAAAATGTTCCCAGAACCTCGCAATATTTAGTGGAGGAAAAGATTTTTCTTCATGAGTTCACTATTATTATTATTAGGCTACGCTTAGTCGGCGGTCTCAGGACTGCTGACTGGAGACTGCACTGATGAGAGTCAAAGAAATCGAAACCGGTCTGTAGGTGTCTAGCGTGGCCTGGCTAAATCGAAATCCATTCAGGAAAGAATCACTTGTATCACTATTCGTGAGCATTTTGGCCATTTCGTAGTTAGAACAGAATAGAATAGAATCGTTTAGTTGCTAATAAGACTACATTCATGCACAAAGTTGCATCAGAAAAGAAATTAACAATTGAACATGGAAACTCACAGGGGCCTCAGCCTGTGTGTGAGCAAAAAAACAAATTCATACATACATTATTTTAAAAATAGTGAACAACAAACTGTATACTCGCAGAGGACGAAGAAACATAAAAACATAAAACGTATTCAAATTCAAAATTCAAGTATCCTTAAGAATAATAGTAAAATATAGATATACGATATTAAAATTTATATATAAAGTAATGTACATGATGAATTATAGTTGAACATATATTTGAATTGAGGTTGATTGAATTGTTTTTGCAACACATGTATACAGGTACTCATATAATATGTCACTTTCCTTTTGTGATGCACATAGGGATAATCACTATCGAACCTCAATCGAAAAGGAAACGTATAAGTGCACGGGAGGTATTCTTCAAGTAATGAGTAAGTTTTTTTTTAAATAGCATATTACTATTTTCTGTCTGAAATGAAATCGGTAGCGAGTTGACAAATTTTGGACCTAAGTATATGAATAGCATTTACGTCCTATTGCTTTGGATGTAAGAGGACACAAAAATTTATGTTGTTGTTTTGAATTATATTCATGACAGAGTTGTACCAAGTTATTTTTATTCTGGTGTTGTCGAATATTGATGATTTTGAAAGTCAACTGTCGAATGTCTAGTATTTCCGATTCTTGATGAAGAAGCTAGCTAGGGTATCTTTTATTTTTGAACAGCATCAATTTCAAGAAGCGCTTCTGAATCACTTCGAGAGGGCACAAATGAGTTTTTGATACACCTCCCCCTCCCCATCCCAGAACTCCGTATGTGATGTGACTCTCAACTAAGCTGAGGTATATAATTTTTTTTTGCTTCAGGTCGAGTATGTCAGTCAGCTGTCGATATTTATATAACACAAATCTCAGTTTTCGTGAAATCTAGTCTATATGTTAGTCCCATCTGAGGTGGCTATCTATAAGATTAATCCAAGATATTTAACTTCAGTTGCTGAGGATATTTTCAAGCTATTCTTTATTGAGATTTGTTCAATGTCAGGTAACGACGATTTGGTGCTGGAAAGTGGTGAGAAGCAAGATTTTTCGAAATTTATAGATACTAATTCACCATCGAACCAGTCCTTCAAGATATTTAAATCTTTTTCAGCATCATTTATTACTTGATCACAACTTCTGCTTTTGTAGGCTACCACAGTATCATCTGCAAAACTTATCCATTCCTTTGCAATTCTTATGAAAATATACCATTTATATAAATAGAGAAAAGAATTGGACCCAATACCGTTCCTTGAGGGACACCGCACTCTATAGTCCTGTAGCTACTGATATCATTATTGATTTTTACACATTGTTTTCGGTCTTCAAGATATGTTTTGAATAGATGTAAATAGTTATTTCTTATACCAATTTTTCGACACTTATTATTATTTTATTTTCCACTTTTTTTAGTTTTGCTCTCTATAGAAGCGTATTCTTTTCTTCAAACTATACTATTTATTGGTTCTTCTCAGGGTCCAACCCTCAATAGTACTTTACGGAGCAGCAGGCCAAGGCCAGCCCATCCTCATCAACCCGGGCATCCCGCCGGGCCACAACTTCCTGGTGCCGCAGCAGCCCCGGCAAGGCCCCAATGTAGGCCAGAGGCCCCAGCAGAGGCCCTTCTTCGTCGGGGGTTACCCCAATCCCAAGCCGGCCCATATTCCGCCCATCGAGAAGGACGCAGAAGAGATTCCCACCGATCCGGCTAGTATACCACCCCTACCATCAACCCCTTCAGTTGGTAAGAGAAACTAGAAAAAGGGTGTTTTTCCACTAGCTATAAAACCTACCATTATCCACTCCTTTTCCAGGCGTAATAAAGTGTGTCTTTACTACCAATCAATCAAAATATACTTAATTGTCTGAAGAAAAAAAACTTCTCATTGACAAAGTCATACATACATATACATACATAATGAATAATATATACCTAATATCACAGTCACAGTATCTATAGCAAGAAAGTGATGCTACAAACCCAGCGAGCACAAAAACATCTCAGAGATGTTAAAAGTACGAGATTTCGAGACATTGAACCTCCACTGCGATGTTCTGTTCACACATGAATAGAACTATTATAGAACAGCCAATGTCCGCCGCAGGCGGCAATTATCGAGATGTCCTTGATATGTCACAAAACTACCTTCTCCCTAGTTCTTTTTAAAGCCTTTTCATGGACACAACAGAACATTTTCAACGCGTCTTGCGCACATTAAATCGCTGTAAAAAAACATTTTCGAGGTACTATTCTGAAGCCTTTTGTCAAAATGAACTTTTGCATTAGGATTCCATTTCCCTGGAATGAAAAAATGCATTAAAAATAGATTGAACATAAAAATATTTTCTTGATATGAAATTACCTTCTTAATCGGTTTCTGAGTAGTGCTTACTACACACAGACATATAATTGGAAATAGGTTTTCCAATTTTTGAAATGTTTTCCACAATGCATAATTTTGCAACTGCGGAGAAGCTGTGTATTGATGATGAATTCGTACTTTTATATATTGATTACACTGAGGCACCGAACAACACATCTTGCATCTGATGGTCATTATTACAAACTAAATAAGTCTTCTAACACAATAAACTTCACCAATTTCCTTTTTGTTCGTTAGCAGCGTGATGTAAGCGTGACACGCTGCAAACGCGATCGCCAATTGCGAACAAGAAGAACAAAATCGAAAACAACTCAGAATTCATCGTATTGTGACGTAAGCATGAGACGTTGTGGTGGCCAAACAAAGAAAGGGCACAAAAGAACAAAAACAATACTTTCAATATCCTTCTAAGATCTCGTTGGGAAGTGCATATTACGCCTTAAAAAAACATCTTCATGCCGACATTTCTAAAACATCCCAAAACATCCCAGGGATACCTCTCAGTAGGCAAACAAAGAAATGCCACAGACAGAAGAACAAAAACAATACTTCAATATCCTTCAAAGACCTCTTTGGTCAGTGCATATTACGTCTCAAAATAACATCTTCATGCCAACATTTTCAAAACATCCCAAAACATCCCAGGGATGTTTGTGCTCGCTGGGAACATGCTCATACTAATAAAAGAATAATAATAAAAAAATTGAAAAGACAGTATCAATACGGATTGAAAGTATATGTACTAAATCGATGACATAAACATAAATGAATAAGAGTATTCCGTCAGGAGCTATTATGTCATAAAAAATTCAACTTGAATTATTCCAGTCGATTTGAAATTCTGTTCACTGCAAATGCCCCAGAAAGGTATGCAGTGAAGTGCTGCGATTTGCGCAGCAAAATTTCGTGATTCACACAATCAAAAGCTTTCGAAAGATCACAAAAAACTGCTGCACAAACTCCCTTCATATCTAAATTTCTGTAAAGCTCTCTCAGAAACGAGAAAACAGCATATCATCAGTACTTTTTTTTTTGTTGAAAGCCAAATTGCAGAGAATTGCAAATTTTATGAACATTATTTATGAATTCCATAAGACTGATTTCTCTATAACTTTTCCCAAGGTCGGAACCAGAGAGATTGATCGAAAATATGATGGATCCGAAGTATCTCCACCTTTGTGAGAATTACAAGACTCTTTTTCAGAAAAATAGGAAAAATTCCTTTCGCTAAAGATTCATTGATGAGCTGAACTAGCTGTTTTAAAGCAAAAATTAGCATGTTTTCAAGAATTCTAATCGAAATATTATCAACTCCGCTAGATGTTTTATTTTTCATTCGTTTGATTGTGTCCATTAGCTCATGCAGATTTGTTTCATACAAAATGAAAGAGTCATCAATATGGATTCCGTTCATATAGAGAAGCGGGTCTGAAGCCACCAAGGTAGTTTTTGTTATTTCATGAACCACTACGTTTTTATTGATTAACATCAACTCCATCTGCTAAAGTCTCTCAAGAATCTCAAAAATATTCAATATTTGGAGAATATGGATGAAAAAACTTTCTGAGCTTTCATATTGAAAATAAAATGAAAGTTGTTTCAAACATTGATCGAACAACGTTTTGTTTTCAATATACAGGCTTTCGAAGTTGAAAACGAAATTTATGATTATAATCTTGAATTAGGTAGGTATTTGAAAAGCTGCTGAACTAAACTTCAGCACACAATGTTCATTTTCTGAAACTCAGTGAGAAGGCTTCAATATAATTTATTGAGGTTTCTTACTGTCAATCTATACTCACCGGCAGAAAAAAACGGCAAGAATAAGACTTCGTTTAATTGATCGCCCTGTAACTTTTTCAATTCTTGTCCCATTATTTTTGTTGGATTTTGAATAATGAATCGTAGATTTGAGTATATTTTGCGAGATTTTCAGTTTTCAAAAAGAGATGATGGCTTGATCATTATAACAGGAAAAAACAAAAGTTATAGGTAGGTATAGGCTGTGGTAGAAGTGATGAGTTGTTAAATTAAGATTCTTATTGATATTTTGGATTATTGAAGTATATTTTCTTTTTGAAAGATAAGTATTTTGAGAGGGTGTGGAATTTTTCAATTTTAATTAACAATAATTCAGAACTTACGCAAGAACTTAACGAATAACAACCCAAAAAAACATAAGAAGATTAATTTCGTTTATTTCCACCTTTTTAAGTACTCGCTGGCGAAAAATTATTACAAAAAACAGACCTCCTATTATAGATGTAGTCAATAACGATAGTAAGGAATCTGAGAGTAATTAAAAAAGGTATCAGAGCGATCAATTCAATTTGTTTAAATTTTTTTTCTGGTCCTTTTATTTGTGCCTGTGAGTGTAGGTATATACCTAAAATCCTTCTCACCCCAATTTTATACTCCATGATAGATAAATCGTGATTCAGGTTTGAACTTAAATGTGCTCGTACATTTTGAAATTCGTCGAGCGACTGTTCTTCCCTCTTTCAGATCGAAAACCTGAAAAGTTAGAAACCTTCAATGAAGACAAGATTGAGCGGCCCTTCAAAACCACCAGAACCCCTCAGCTCCAACCAGGCCAACGTTTCTTCATCCTTAACGGAGACAACCTCTTCTTAGACTACCCTTTCACGTATTCCGAAGACCTCAAATACAACCGGCAACAACCACAAAACCTCGATGAACCTCGACAACCACCACCATCGCCTACAGACATCAACTCTCTACCTCTGCAAACGTTTTTATCGAAGAATGGCCAAATTTCCAGTAGTAATTTCCCACCAGAACAACATTTATTCAGCCCAAACCTCTACCCAGGGCAATCCGGCCAACAGTTCGACCAGAATTTGGCTACATTGAGGCCTGAATTGGCGCTGTTCAGGTCCAGTTTGCCCCTTGGAGATACCGTTGGACACTTTAGATTCACTCCTCCTAGTGAACCCTACTATCCCTTTGATGGCGAAGACGTTGAAAATGAAGCTGTGGTGGTGGATGCCAAATACGAAGACGATATTGGTAAAGGAGTGAGGTATACAGAAAATCAAGGCGAGTATTTCTTCATTTCGATACTTTCACTGATGGAATTTATGAAAAATGTACAATTTTTTTAGATCCATCTGTTTCCAATGGTGAACTTGATGGTTCTGATGAACCGAGCACAGCCCAAGCAGCTCCTGGAGCTATAGCTCTAGCAGGAAGAGGAGGTGTAGCTGGTGCTTCCCCGAAAGCTACTTCCCTCGCTGGAAAAGGGGGTTTAGCGGTCTCAAGTCCGCAGGCCACTGCTGTAGCAGGTGCTGATGATGAGAAAGTGAATCAAAAGAACAATAGGCCTGCCAAGAAATCCAGGAACAAGTGAATTATTTTAGGAATTTGAAAGATAGGAATGTTTTGAGAAATTATTAGTTATTTTAGTTACCATCAGCAGACTTTTTTTCAGATCTCTTTTTGTAGCATTCAAAATTAGTTTTCTTGAATTCGCGGGATGTAAATGTCTCAAAATAATCGCATTGCTATATACAGGGTGGTCCGGTATGTAATACAAAATATTCAACAGTGTGTTTTTGTACTCGTTGAAATAACAAAAAAATTTCATATAAACATATACTTTTGAACGAGTCGTTTTCGAGATATAGGGTGTTGAAAATACGAGTCTGAATATTGTTTTTTGATCAAAAGTTCGAAACGGTTCGAGATAAATCAACAAAATTTCTCACAGATTACTAAACATTTCACGCTCTATATAAGATGATATAAAAATTATTTCATAAAGTGAATCAGTGGCGGCTGAATCAGGGGGTGGTTAAGGAAAAAGATCACCCAATATTTATATGTGCATTCAATTCTTCAATTTCGAGTACAAAATGTGAACACCATGCAGCGACAGATTTCTGCGTACAATATTTCTCTTGCATTTTTTCAATGCGTTATTACAACGTTTTCCAATTGAACCGGATTAACAATAGGTATGAGAAATCCAAGGTAATAAATAGTATATTATGTGACAAGTGTTATAAACGTCCTTTTAGTAACGAGTATTTAATAAACGAGTGTCTAGAAGAGTTTATAAACGCGTTACATACTATGATTTTTCTACGAATTCCGAAAATTACATTAACATACCTGCTATTCCTGCTAACCTACAAATCAATTTGAAAGGAATGGGAATTGAGAACATAATATATGCAACTGCATGCAACCAGTGAGACACGTATAAGTGATATTGGTTGTAGATGTGACCACTGTCCAGTCCATTGCTTACTAACCTTTGTTTCACGTTTATTGTCATGCTTAGCGCAGAATAAATAAATTGTTCTCAAAGATGAATGCTTCATTTTCACACTTCTTGGAGATATGCAAGTACCAGAACATTCTCTTCGATTTCACTTTCGTCTACTTTTCGTATATATTTATAATGAAGAATTCTGATACAAACGAATATTGTTTGAATAATTCTGACACAAAATTTGAAAATAACAGTTGACAGCTAATACAATTGACAGGCCAGACATGTCTCAAATTACTGAAGCTGTGTTTAATGAACTGCGTTGCCATGGTGATGTGTTTAAGAAATCGTGTTGCCATGGTAACTTGTTTAATATTTTGAATAAATCACAGATCGACAATCCGTGATTAATCGATCATTTAGCGTGGTACATATCCGTACGATAAATGCCATTTTAGTTATATGAGTAGAAAAAAATAATTACTAGCAGACAAACACAATAAAACTTCAATGTACCTTCATCACCCCCAGATTGAGCTGCCACTATGGATAACTTAATGAAATAATTTTTATTTCATATTATATTGCGTGAAAACTTTAGTATCTGTGAAAAACGCTGTTGATTTATCTCAAACCATTTCAAATTTCTCATCAAAAAACTTTTTTATTATTTCAACAAGTACAACACAATGTAGAATTTTTCCATACCTCTTACCTACCTATACAGAACTAACATTTTTTTTTTCGTGGAACTTAATGCGAACTTGCCACTAGTTGACATAAAAATTTAATATCAGATCTACCAGCGAATATCTGAAATTATGAGTGAAAAATGTGTTTTTTCTATGACGGGAAAAAAGTTTTAAACCTCATGTCTGTTTGACAGGTTATGAAATGTCACTTTTCATAAATTACTTTTGATCTAGATTTCTCAACGGAAAGATTAGTGAATAGATTATCTTCAGTAGTCTATGACTCAAGTGATTTTGCGAGAACTATAGCTATAAATCATGTATCAATTTTATATACTATGTAGCATAGGGCGCCGTACATTATGCTATTTCTCGGCAAGTTTGAGGCAATGCAATTTTCTCGCAATTTTCTCAATTTATTGCAAGTCGCCGTACATCGAGATATTTCTGTCATATTTTCTTGTTCATATTCACTATTCCCAGTTTTTTGAGCCTTCAATGTACTTTTTGAGGTTGTTTGGTGTTTCAGGCCACGTTATGGAGAAAATTTGTATTTTATCAAGATGCTACGATGAATATTACTAAAAATATCACTAAACTTGCCTTGAAATTGCAGGAAAAATAGGACTAGTTCTATTACGAAACTTGCATGAAACTTGTCGTGAGATATCATAGACGCATGCGCATTGTTCGATGCATCGAACTTAATACTGTTGGTGCACTTCACTTGATGAGATGATATGTTCGAATGAATGTAATATTTTTTAATTTTACGCAAAAAAAATTATATAATACCAATGTTTTTTTTTTCGTTTCCAGATAGTGATTATTACGAAAGCGTCTAGAAGCGCCATATAATATTTTTTTATAATTGACTGACATATACTAAGTGTGAACTAGCTTAATCGACAGATATTAAGTGTCAACTAGCCTAATTACAGATACTAAGTGGTAGCTGGCCTACTTGACAAATAAGTATATAGGTACTAAGTGTTAACTAGTATATAATTATTGACAAATTCCTAAATTGTCAACTATCCTAATTGACAGATACTATAATTGTCAATTGGCCTATTTGACAGGTACCTATAATGTTAATTATAGTATATAATGGACAGATACTAAGAGTGAACTATCCTGATTGATATATACTATATTCTGTTGTAACTATAGTCTTATATATAATTGACAGATACTAAGTATCAACTATGTTTTATAATTGACAGATTTACTTGTTCTAGAATTGTTCTTATCCACCACTATGTGGTGGTAACTAATATAGTTGACACTTGAGTATCTCTCATTTATACTACTTATGATGGAAGTAAGATATGGTGCGCGCATTCGGCAATTATTACGTATTGAAAATTTCATGAAAATCACTCGACCGGCCTACTATGATTTCTCTACGTCACAACGAGCGAGACGTTGATTCTACTTTTTCCCGCTAGATGGTGATGCTGCTATTGCTGCTGTGACGAGTGGAAATAAAATGGCAAATGCCATTTTAGGTACGCGGAACATATGTAACAGTGGGATTAAACAACTCTGAATTCGAAAAATCTGCGACAATTTCAAAACTGACAGAAGTCATAATTGTGCAATGTCGCCATCTATTAGAAGATCAACGGAACCATTGCTCTCGCTGCTCTCGAGAGGTCGAGTAAAATTTCTGAAACAAAAGCGCATCAGTAATTACACCATTCGGCGAACTGACAATACCTGCTAAGTGCAATATAGTGCAGAGCAGGTTTTTTTACAGGAGATGAATAAAACATAATCTAGTAACAGGTCAAGTCGATAGCAGATATTGTTTTCCTTCAATGAAGTGAACAAAGGATTCATCTGGAGGTAGCAGTTCATTTCAGATTGTGCGCAATGAATATTGAAAGCTATAACTGCATGAAATACCAATATTCGAAAAAAATGTTACTTAGCAGGTATTGTCAGATCGCCGACGAATCTTACTTCCATCATTATACTACTATAATTACTTGTTGTAAATTGGCTAGTTGTCATCATGCTGGTTGGCACTGGAATATCTGTCAATTAGGCTATTTGACACATAGAATCTGTCAATTATAAGAAACTATCAATAAGGCGCTTCCACGCTTTCGTAGAGTACCTATATATTCCTATAGCAATAATGAAATTAACAAAAGCCGAAAGCATCAGAAGATGGAAAGAATAATTTTACAGTCGAATGACAAGAGTTTATAATCCTTGGATCGTTTCAAATGTTTAATGGTTCCATGACACCCCATCCTTATGACACCGCTGATCGTCCTAATCAGATGACTCATGACATGCTCATGACCATGACCGACATGACTCATGTCACATGTCAGAACTTGTTTATTTTGCATTAGTTTTTTTCTAACTCTTTACTGTTTACTTGTGTTGATTATGATTAGGTTATAAAATTGTTTTTTATTAATTATTACTGTTAAGAAGTACTCCAAGGAATAATGAACCAGATATTCACTGCAATAGTCATACTGCCTAACAGTTATATCCAATCAACTCAAAAACTTTGAATACATGAGAGTGGTTGACTAGACAATCCAAAATGTACTTATTTACACATTTACCCCTAGTACTTAGCATATTAAGTAGTACCTATGCAGACTGTGGGTGCAGTACCAACCGGCATGGACAGTGCAATAAAGAAAACTCGGACGCAAGTCTCAAATATTCCAGAAAATCAAATGAAGATGACAATACACAAAAAGTGCATTTAGATACATCCAACATGGTGCTAATAGAAGGAACAACCTTTGAAATGGGGACTAACAAGCCTATCTTTGAGAGTGATCATGAGGGCCCAATGCGTAATGTTTCTGTAAAATCTTTTTATCTAGATATGTATGAAGTTTCCAATCAAAATTTTTATGATTTCATCAAAGAAACTGGATATCAAACCGAAGCTGAAAAATTTGGTGACAGTTTCATTTTTGAAATGGTTTTACCAGAGAACCAAAGGGAGAATTATAAGGATGTCAGAGCTATGCAAGCACCTTGGTGGATAAAAATGAATGGAGCATACTGGAAACATCCTGAGGGGCAAGGATCTACTATTGAAGGTACAGTGCTGGTCAGCAAGGGACTATTCAAATTGACATTCATTATACTAAAAATTATTTCAGGAAGAATGAATCACCCTGTAGTGCATGTTTCATGGAATGATGCTGTGAAATATTGTGAATATTTTGGAAAAAGGTTGCCCACTGAATCAGAATGGGAAATGGCATGTAGATCAGGTTTAAGACGCAAGTTATACCCTTGGGGAAACAAATTGAATCCTAAAGGAAAACATTGGTACTTTATAATAACTTTCCCTTCTCTAGGACATCCCTAATTTATTGATATTTTCAGGGCAAACATTTGGCAGGGTGAGTTTCCAAAAATAAATACAGAAGAAGATGGATATGGGTTCACATGCCCTGTGGATGAATTTCCTCCAAATAAATTTGGCCTTTATAATATGGCAGGAAATGTTTGGGAGTGGACACAGGACAATTGGTTGGGACACCCTGTAAGTATACTAAAGATTTTCATCAGATTATATTGTGATACTGTTTATGAAAAAAACATTGGCAAAAATTTGCTTTGCCTTATGGCCTCATTTTACTCAGGCATAGATACTCAGGTAAGTCAATGTCAATATTTAAAAAGAAAAAGTTGTTTTCAATCAGGTCTTCCTGTATCTCATGATACATTTGGAGAGCCTTGCTCAATATTTCCAGCAAACAGGAAACAGGGTGGTACCAATAACTCTGGGTGGTACCTACTAAAATTGCCCTAGTTTCATCATTATCTTATTGAAGGATTTGTCAAAATTGTTGTAGCTGCAAATTTTGGGAATTCAAAACATCCCAGTCTCACTTTGGGTGAGACCTGATGAACTAAATATTGACTATCGGCCATTTATTTGAAGAGAACAGCCAGTATATTTTTAAAAATTTTGGACCTGCAGGCATTTTTTGACAGTTTATGAGAAAATTGTGTTAAATTATTGACCTATTGAATATTGACCAGTTTTCACATTTTGTTTGATATCTTTTTCTTCTAATTTCAAAGTGATGAATATGAAAATTTAAAGATTCTCAATATCCTATACCCTCGCACCAAGAAAAAATCCCACTCAGGAATTTCAAATGTAACATCTCGAATATCTTTATATTTCTGGATTTTAGACAGATCCAAAATGATATTGAAGAAAAGAGCTTTAAAATAATTTTATCTCTCTATATTATACTGGGTCACACAGGGTATCTGCATTCATAAAGGGATTTTTCTGAAAATTGGCAAGGTTATGTGTAAGCCACCATTTCAGATTTGATGACATTACAATCCAATATGGCGGACTTCCGGTTTTTCTGGAAATGTCCACAACTTCGTTTTTTTTTCCAAATGGAACACCCAGTATATATTTTTACATTTTCCATATCAACATGTCCAAACAAGTGCCATCTCATGAGAAGATTCAGAAATATTGTTTGATTGATTGTCTTTTTTACTCCCAATAATAATTGCACAATAATTGTTTTTCATATAAAATGAGAATATTATAATCCATTCCAATTAATCAAATCGTGAATAGCATTGACTACATCTCATTTATCCATGAGGTGAAATGAAATAAGTTTTAATTTCAACATTTAAAAAAAAATTACATTTGACATTGATTACACTTTTTTTGACCTGTCGAACTTAGAATATGTAAAAATATACAGGGTGTTCCATTTCAAAAAACAAAGTTGCTGGCATTTTCAGAAAACCCGGATGTCCGCCATATTGAATTGTAATACGTTCAAATCCGAAATGGTTGCTTATATAACTAACAGATTTAAGAAAAGTCCGTTCACGAATGCAGAAGTTACCGGGGTGACCCGATATCCTGTGTCACCCGGTGTACAAAAAACAACAGTGATCATCAACTGTCCATACTCAGAAAAACTATCAGGTCCAGACATGGGATAGATAGTATGAAAAAGTAATAAAACAAGGGGGCATCCAATGAAATAATATTATATTTACACCAAGAAGGAAGTAACAAAAACATATACATTTCCCAGGATTCCAAAGTAAAAAAGGGGGGTTCGTTCCTTTGCCATGAGTCCTACTGCTGGAGATACAGATGTGCTGCCAGGTCACAAAACACCAAAGACAGTTCAGCCTCTAACCTAGGATTTCGCTGTGCTGCCGCTCATTGAAATTTCGATCATGTCAAAATTGACGCGGGCAGAAAAGAGAAACATAAAAGATCTAATAATTTTCGATAATATATCTCACTAGATCGTACCTAGAAATAGAAGTATTTAAACCACAACAAGAGTGAGACAAGACAAGTTGAATTCACATTACTGGCTGGTCACGTGACAGCTCCCCAATATGCTATATCGCGCCTAAAGGCAGATGACTCATCAACCCCAAGATAGGTCCAGGTCAAACAACTCTCATCCAAACATTTTTTCGCCCATAAAACGCAAATTTGAGGAATTATCTCAAAAATCCTCAACCTTGAAAGGTTGAAATTCTATGCTATACAAGAGTTTAAGTGATTAAAAAATAGCTAATGGAGGGAGAGATTATATCTGTCATTTTTTGTCCTTTCTCTCTCTTATGTTGTTTCAAAACTCTGTACAGAACTGTGAAGCAAGGATCTAGTAGTTTATATATACATTTTATTAGATCTTCGGGAAAACCTCTAGAAACCAAAATGGCCAGAAACAAATTCAAAATACTTAATAGCTTTTGGTACCACTTTAATCTTTTCTAGAGGTTTTTGCTTTCTCAAAACAAAACAAACTGGCAGATTTGAAACTGTACTTACAATAAATAATCCTGCCTAAAAGTCTTCCAACTCTAAATATATATATTTAAATATAAGAATTTGTTGTACAATATGTTTTACGTTGAAATAAATTATTGATAATAACTTCAACTGACTTACATAACCTCTAACCCAACTAATTAAATGGAATGTGAGAATTAGAAACTTTGTCCTTAAGTAATTGTCCCAGAATTCCAGTTATTTTTCAACTATCTGCTGTTTAACAGTTTTAAACCTATATTGAGCATGTGTCAAATTTACGAAAATATATTTTATTTAGATAACTGCAAAAATAATTCAAGATACTGTAATGAAAGCTTGTGCTCCCATTTTTCTCTATATTGCATTGTTTCAAAACAATATTGTCTCATTTGTTTCATATTGATTTTCTCATAATTTCACCAGATTTCTTTTTTAAAAATATGTTAACAAAATGGATTCTTCAATTCATCCGGGAAAAGGCAAGGCAAATAATGACTACAAATATTGATTTTGAAAAAATGACATAAATCCCCTTAATATTTAATAATATACATACATAACCGATGTTGCAATACCAGAACATGACACTTCTATGCAAGAAGGTAATGTCGGATAATAAATAAGTGATATTTTTATAAAGATATGAAACAAGCAAATTTGAGGTGAATTACATAAATTTTCCGTTTTTGCAAATTTGACTGTAAATGGGTATAAATTTCGGGGGGAGGGGGGAGGGGGGGGGTATATCATCCGATAGACTTGACTATAATCTCAAGTTCTTGATAACTGTGACAATATAAAGCTCAATTAATTATTAGATTCACTTTGTGAAGTCAACACAGCAATAAGTAGAATATAAAAACGTTTGACATCTGGTTTTCACATTATTTTCATCACACAGCCTGATATTTCATCAAAATAAAAATGTTTCAGTAGGTACAGGATTCTTCATCGAAGAGACCCGGTATATATCCAAAAAGTAGAAATAATAATCTCCCACACAATTTTTCAAAGAAAATAGGGGTGGGTCTTCTCCATGGATTGCCCTGTATAAGTCGTCCCAAATTGTTTGTCTGCATCCATGTTCTGCATAATATTCGTACAAGAAAAAAACTACTACTTATCTTCATCCATTTGTTTCAAGAACTTCATCGAGCTAAAAGTCGGCTGTGGTACCGAATCAAATGACGATTCAAGGTACATTTTTTCTAACGTGAGTAAAGGAGATAACTTATGCGTACAGTCAATCTGGGACTCCCTGTACATTCATGATCCAGCAATAATTCAATAATTTCATCAATTGAATAACCTAGAGAAAAAAATAGGTACATATTTCATTCCACATAGTCGCAGCTTCCCAGAATAAATCGGTAGATGACAAAACAGTTATTTCCCAAGAAAGAGGACTTAATCGACAATATATCACCTGAAAAAGATGAGGCATTTTGTTATTGTGTTTGTAGCAACTACTGTCGTCTGTCAATGGAGGTTCGTTTGAAAAGCAGAGCATTTTCTTTCAATAATGAACATTCCACCAGTTTTGGAGCTTAACTAAAAATAGACCCAATCTTGAAGAAGACGTCAGATTGCATATACATTTGGTATTAAATTACCTCAAAGAGTAGTACTGTGTGTGCAACAGGCAGCATATGATTAACCTTTTTGATCACTTTGAATGTTTTTTTATCTCTTGGAAATTCTTATAATGCTCGAAAAACATCGTGCGTACCAAAGTACAGAAGACGACCGTGGTATATGTATCAACGTTTCCACTACTAACATAATGGTTTTTCGACCTAAAACCTTCACTTGATTGTGAATAGTTCATTTTTGAAAGTCATTGACAGCTGTAAGATGACTGGCATTTAACATAAGAATCAAATTCAGAGCAATGTTAAATGACAGCTTTGAAGCCAATATCACAATACAAAATGTCTCACCCTTGAAAATACGGTGAATCATATCAGTCTCAGAAGAACTTCAACCGATCAATTCAAACTGAATCTGAAAACAGACTCGGTTCTCATGCCGGCCAACACCTTCTCGGCCAGGGTATGCGAATTCTCCCTGAGCATCCTGGGCACAGGGACGTACCTGTAGATCAGGTAGCCCCCGCAAGCCAGCAGCGCCATCTTGTAGGCGTACCGAATGACCTGAGAGGTGACCGAAGGCGGGGGGATCGTTACTATGGCCTTGATGTACTTTTCTTGCGGATGGGGCCACAGTTTGAGGATGCCGGGAACGTGGCCTATGCCTACCACGCCGACGATGCGGAGAGACTCGCTGGGGGCCTCAAGAGGGGCTGAAATATTTTCTTTTTTTTTATTTGTACTGATGGGGATTTTGGGAAAATCGAAATAGTGAATGAAATTATTATTGAAGGGCCCACTTTCTGGGATGGGAGTAGGATGGCGACCCCGCGTCTCGGTTACCGCGTACAATGAACCCATGGTGGAAATACAATATGGTGTGCTACGGCATTAGAGCCTAGCCATAGCACCAATAAACAAAAAATATTGCCACGGCGGCAAGTCAAGAGCGTATAAAATTGGTTTGTAATTTGTTTTGGCAGAAGCGTGGTGGTCATTAGAGTAGCGTTCCTTCTTCCGAACGAAAAGACCGGGGTTCGAATCGCTAATCCAGCTAATCTTTTTTTCTTTTCTTTTTTTTCGAAGTAGTTAATGGAACAAGATACTATAGAGGGATTTATTGGTTAGGCCGATAGTGATTCGCTATTTCAATGATGTTTCTTCTCGGGATCGGCCGGAAATTTCCAGTTTCTCGCGAGCAGCGAGCGAGGCGCAATGTTACCTCGCTATGGTGCCATGGCTAGACTAGTTACTACGACCACCTTTAGGTATGAGGCTACGACGCATCTTAGAGCAGTGCAGGTAGCGTTTAGAGAAAAAATAGTCTTCGCCAGTTGTCCTTGTCTTCAGTATTCCAACATGAAATAATGATCATTTTATGTTGGCAACACTGGAAATAAGAAGAAATGGAGAAGTAGACGATTTTAACCTGTTTTTATATTGAGGTTAACATGATCTCCATTTTTCCCCATTTCCAATGTTAACAACGTGATATTTCCGTTATTTTACGTTGGTACACTAGACAAGGACAGATGGGGAAGGCAGAGAAGATATTTTTCCTCTCTTAACGCTAGCTGAACTGCTTAAACTGCTCTATTGCTTGCACTTTATCAATTCGCCCGAGTCGATGTGATATCATTGGTGTGAGCTTCGTAGACTCCCAATGACGTAATGCGCAGAAAAGATGAATTTAAGACACGTGGGTTCTTGAGTAGCATAAACTTTCGCACTTAGCAGTGAACTGAACTGAAACCAAACTGAAAACCTCTTTCGAACTAGTTCGTTCGCGAACTGCACAAGTACATGAGTAGCATAAACAAATACCAGTATAATATGTATCTGCGCAATCGACGGCGGCTGGTAGGAGTTCTCGCGTCTCTCTCGTGTCATATCGCGTAAGGTATGGAAATCAAAGATGGGCAGAATTCAAAGGAATGAGGAAACCAAAGAATGAAAATCAAAGATGGACGGAATTCACAGGAGTAAGGAAACCAAAGAAAGAAAAGCAAAGATAGGCGGAATTCAGAAGGAAGGAATCCAAAGAAGGAAGTGATCCAAAGAAGGATGGAATCCAAAGAAGATTTCCCCAGTATCGTCTAAAAGATATTGGAAATACGACACATACCAGTTGTTTTGCTATTTAACACCAAATTCAACTATGATTTGTTATATCATTCTGTAGGAATGATAAGGATGACAATATTTGCATAAAGCTTTTGTTCAATGTCCATCTGGAGCTCATCATTTCGGAAAAATTCACAAAGATGGTTTATTTTCGAAATCAAAACTTCTACCGCCTTTATATTCCGGAATTAACTTCAATCAGTAGGTCTCAATAACCAATGAGAGCCGGGCATAAAATATGCGACAATGTCAAGTATCAATGAAAACAGTCCCCTACATTCACTTATAACTACTGATTTGAAAGATACCACCATTAAGATTTCAGGATATCCCTAATTATTTTGTAAGCTTGACAACTATGGATAAAATGAGATGAAACATGAATCAGTTGACTAACCTAACTAAATGTTGTTTACCCGTGTCCCCTTTAGTGTTTATTTGAATTCTTATTCCTCATCCATAATAATAAGTGGTATCAACTTCCTCACTGCTGAAACGGAATATCAGAAACACCAGGAGCTATATTTCTTCAACATTTTTAATTACCCTCATTTTCCATACTCTTGTGGAGAAGTAGTAATTTCCGCACTTGTTAGGTGAAAGCCAAGACACCTAAATATTTCTCAAGATTATTTTTGTGTTTATCTTCTTTAGTTGGTTTAGACATGGATAGGGCACTATTATTTTGATTTTTAAGTGGGGGGTTGATATTTTCAAATATCATAATATTAATATTGGATGAATAATATTGGGTTGCAATAACTCCCTCATTTGATTTAAAAACAATTTGGTTACTCTTTAACCACAATGAACTATCAGATCAGCTTTGATTGATGAATATATGCATGCAATTCATACAATCCCATCATACTTCAGACTTCAAACCATCAGAAAAGTACATCTTCATGGAATTGTTCAAGTTTTGAGAAAAACCAAAAGGATTCACAGATAAGCTACATACCATCCCTTCCTTTGGGCTTCAGTTTTGAAAGAGCAGCTGCTTGGAGGGAATTTGTAAGATATATATCACGTTCATCTAGAAAAACTTCTCGAAAAGCTGGGTATTCTCCAGCCAAATCAGCTAGAAGTTGCTCAAGCATGTCTCTATTTTTGCATTTCTCAATTTCTTCAACCCTACAATGAAAATGGTGGTCAAAAACTGATAAAATTGATTAAAGATCCCAAAGAGATAGTCCTTCTCCTGATGACACTCACGTGACAGGATCTTTAGAAGTCAACAGATGCCAAGCCAATTTAAAAGTCTGAAACCATGTCAGTCTAGCTAGAGCTCTTTGAAGAGTAATATTTATTGGGCGATCACCTAGATGTACACCACAGTTAGGAATTTTGGAAGCCTAAAATGAGGTTTTGTTAATATTGTTCCCAAAATTTAGTAAAACTACAGAATTACTTCTTTATAAGCTACTCTGAATTCTCCTCCAGGGGCCATCCCTATTTCTTTTGTTAGATGGGCACTCATATTGAGCAGAAGAATATACATTAGACCATTGAATACACCATTGGACCTAACAGTGGAAATTACTTTTTGCATATTGATGTTTTTGGCTTCCTCTAAAACTGTAGCTTCATCTAATGATAATATATGTGTTCTGGAGTTACATAATTCTACAACTACAATATGAGGCAAAACATTTGAAATAACCTATGGGAAAATTTAAAAAATTAATATCAGTCCACTTTTTATATTTTCAGTATTCATACTTTTTCCACATCATCTTGTGATTCTTTGCTGAAATGTGCAGTGCCAATCAGGTAGATCTTGGCACCGGTTTTATCGTGCTTCAAAATAGTTACAGTTTCTGGTAGGTTGTTATCAAAATCATCTTCGGATTTGTTACTAGAAGATTCTGCATCTCCATAGCCCAGTATCTCAATAGGGTCACTTTTGTCTGAACCGGAACCATTATCCGAGTCTGATCCTATCTTCACCGTGCTTTCGGATAGTTCTGGGAAAGTAGCATTTCTTATAATATGCCCTTGTGACTGGCAATATGTTTTTGCAAAAATCTCGAACTGAAGCTATAGATGATGGTTGGACATTGTGACTTACCGAAATTTGTTATAGAACTATCCATATTTGCAATACTCTCATAAAATACCTACAACTATTCTATAACTAAAAAAAATAAAAACACAACAAAAATGTTTCTTCTGCCCTGCCACTACTGCCAGCAAGATTACAGCGGACAGCCATTGCCATTACAGGCAGGCTGACCCTGACACTGTGACACTGACATTTATGACAGTTGACACTGCTTTCGACAACTGTCACTTTCCGTGATTGTTATTTTTCGGAAGTTGAAAGTTGAGTGATGGCCATTGAACACATGTAGGTGTTTATTGAGATGTTTATAAGTAGTTGACTAGTGTTTATATCACCGTAGAGTTTATATTGAGTTCATTGGTGATGACAGAATCGAATCCAACCTTCAGAAACGTCAGACTCAGAACAGTGAGTACGTCAAAAATGTCAATGTCAGTGGCGTAGGAAGATGGGCGACCTTCAAAATATTAAATAATACAAAAAACGCGAAAGCAGGAAAAAGTAAAAACTCTCTCAAGTTTCTCAGTTCTTACATCATGTTCAGCGGACGCTAGTGGAGAATTTTCCATAATTTCTGATTTTCAGCTCCTTGCCTGATTAGTTGATTAAACCAAGGTTCTCTTGCAGGTTTATGATTTTGCTATCTTCGCACACCTCTGCCTTTTTTCGTGATTGTGGAAGCTGATATTATGATATAAGCATTTCATTGGATATAAGTGAGATATAAGATATGTGTTTTTACTGCTTTTTGTTCATTGTGATCTTTTGATCATTCATCATTCATTAGTTTATTATTCCACATTCAACCCGAGGAACTTTGAGACCAAAAAATAATGTTTAGAGGCTTCGTAAGTTAATACATTTTTTAATACAAAGCAACAATTTCCATAAAAATATTCTATATTATTTTAGTTATCCTTCATTGTTGGATTGTATTCAGGGGTTTATATTGCCCAAAATTATGAAGTAAGTATGTTTACTTTGTGATCATGAAGAGCAGCATTTCATGGTATTTTACTATTTTTACCATCTACATTGAGATAATTGATCTAATGGACATTTTCAGATTCCCAGGGTAGATGAGCCAACAGCACTTTATGAAAAAGTAAAGGATTTTGCAGAGAAATACAAAAAAAATTAGCCATATTTTATAATACATCATTGATTTTATTTCCTACACCTATTATAAATAAAAAAGTTTATGTTAGTATTAACACAGTTTTATTCCTCCACCTAGATATTCTAGCCGAATTGGAGGCTCAACAAAAGCCAACCAATCACTAGCATGTGTGGGCAACAATCCCATACTGTGACACTTATACAAAGCTAAACCTATATTCACAAAATTCCCAAGAACATAAACAATCATCTGCAAAATGGCACTGGAGGTTTCCATCATCTTGAAAGTTGACTTTGTTGACCAGATTGCCTGTAAGGGTCTCATGAGCAACATTCCTACCATCATGATGGGGAATATAGATATAGAATTCCCTGCCATGTACATGATGAATAGGTTCATTGGTACTTGTTTCATTGGAGCCAAGGCTAGATCCCATGATTTCTTTGTGATTAATCGGGATACATCCGTTTTTTTCGCTACTTCACTGTTAGAACCAATGCTTGCTGCACTATAACCTGGGGGCGATTGTAGAGCTTCCGTTGAAAGACGGTTAATCCTGAAAATCGAGGTTTTCGGGTAAACTGGGAGGTGTGCTATGAGGAAAAACCAACCTGATATTATCCAGGCTCCATTTCATTCGGCGATTTTGTTGTTTACTGGACATTTCAATGAACTGAGAAGTCGGAATATAATAGCTACAATTTAATGCACAGATATCTACTTACTATCTTACTAATAATTAATTGAAATGTTGAATTGCAAAGCGACAAAATTCGATAAATAATGATCGAAAAATGATATAAATAATAAATTTAGGTTAACAATCAAAATCAAACATCAATGTCAAAAATTAGTCCTAAGTGACACAGAAGGGAACTTACAGATTCAGAACCATATCATGCATAGAACGAATATTTCGTGAAGTGCTTAAATCTTTCGAACCATTCCCATCTCGTATTTTCCGCAATAAAATTGTGGAGGCTGAGTTTGGCCAGGGAGTTTTATTCTGGTCCACAAATATTATGACGTCAGCCCACTGAATGAGGCTTTCAAGAATGTTTTTCCTTCGTCTCGAGACCCTACGAAAGCACCCTGGTGTCACGCACACTTTTCTTTTTTTGAAAACTCATTATAATGACTTTTTTCTCATTATAATGAGTTTTTTCTCATTATATTGACTTTTTTCTCATTATATTGACTTTTTTTCATTATAATGAGTTTTTTCTCATGAAAATGAGTTTTTTCTCATTATAATGAATTTACTTTCTTTCTTCGGAGTCTTCTCCTGCTTCTAAGACTAACACCAATAGGGTCCAATTCTTTCAATATAATTCTCACACTTCTATTCGTAATTACAAATCCTTGCTGGATGCATTTCAAATGCATCCATCGATAGCCGTGTAACTGTCCGTACTTCTCAACTTGTTCGGCTATAAAATTCAAAACTTATTCTGGTAAGGGAGTAAAATATTTCATTCTGTAGAGGCCCATTATCTTCAATATTCGTTTAACTGTTGATAAACTTATACACTGTTTATGATATACCGTCAGGAAAGCCATAATTTCTTCCCAATAAAAAGTAGTATGCAATATAATTGGCCACCACATCCATTTTGATATAAATCATAAGAAATCTAATTAATAATGATAATCTAAACCAAAGAAATCATGTTTACACAGAAAATATAAAGGCGAATAATAATAAAGTCATTATACCTATACAGGGTGTTTCATGAGCAGACTCACATAGCCGAATGGTTGATAGGGGAAATCAATACGAGTTGATGTATATATATGAAACTATTTTTTGACCCTCCATAACGAAGATACAGGGTATTATGTGAAATTGCTATATAACTTTAATCGTCGATAGTACAGAAATGATTTGTCGTAATCTACTGAAATTTTGCAGCGACGTATCATTATTGAAACTATTCAAGATGACATATTATGAAAAAAAATATCCAGGTCCGGACTTGGTAAAATTTTATGTTTTATTGTTATGTCAAAAAAGTTCACTTTGTGACCACTTTTCTCGAAAAATTCCATCAGATTCAGAAAGATCAGACAAAATTCTATGAGAACTGCTCTTCAATTTACACGGCACACTTTGTCCGGTTCAATAAAATAATATATGGAACAAAATCGTTCGAATGAATTTTAAATTTCGACCTGGCTGATAACTGTCAACTTTCAACTGGTATCATGTAAATTGATTTTTCCTACATTCTTGTTGAATAGTAATTGACAGAAGAATAGACGAGAAGAAAAACACGATATTTTTTTATCGGAATTCCAGATAGATATTAGTATTCCTGACTTTGTTTTATGGGTGTCGCTTGAAGTGAGATATCGAGTAGGTCCTCCGGTTTTTCATTTGTGTGACGAGACGTGACGTTTGTTGATAATCCGAACTGATAGGTATATAGGTACTAGGCTAGTACTAGGTAGGTACCATCTGATGAAATTACGAGATGAGGATTCATGTGCTCATATTATGGTGATTTATCAAATTAGTTATGCCATCACGCATAAACTTAGCTCCATTTTTTGTTATTGATACACTTCTGCAAGTGACATAAGGATATGCATTTGCTATTTATTCAAAATTCCTAATGTTCATCATCGTGAAGGTTTTACTGCAACGTATTCTTGGGTCTGGGAACATTCTATGGTATTAAACATTTTCGTCTTGTTCAGCATTTGGAATATGAAGTGGCACCTAGAGTGTGAGAATATTTCGATTACCAGTGTTTACCTATCAACAAACGTCATGTTACATAAAATAAAAACAGGGCCCACTTTATGATAAATTTATAAAATAGAGTCACGAGTAATCATATCTATCTAGAAGTTATCGATCAAAAACTAACATGTCAAATCATTAAAGAATCAGTACTACCCAGCAAACACATCTGTTATATTTACATCACTGTTATATAAAATCAACGGAACTTTTTTATATAGAATATTTACGTAAATATTCCATAATACTTCTGAAATATGTGAACCTCCTATTTATATAAAATATTTACGTAAATATTCCGTAACAATTCTGAAATATGTGAACCCCATAATTATATAAAAATGTAACGTAACTATGATGTAAATGATATGTGACAATTTGATATCAATATAAAAGCTTATATGATAGCTACATGACTTTACTAGGACTCTCGGCCGTAAATTCTCTGCAGACTTGATTCTGCGTCAATTAAGGATATTCGTTGGGATGATCAGTACCCGTGGTCTCGCACTGTAATGTTCCCCCACCGCGATGATTATTATTTTTCGCTCTCGCACTGTAGCGTTTCTCCGTGACCACTCTGAGGTTATAAGTAATGAGTGAAGACTTGGAGACTGAAAGCATTTTCAGTATTTTCTTACTATTCCGAGTGATTTTCTTGTTTCCACCAATTTTCTGCGCTGCAGTGGTCCCCCATCCCACATGCCCAATTCCCATTGGTCGACTACTTTGAGGTTATGAGTTATAATTATAAGTGAAGACGAGACCATAAACAAACTACATTGAAGGCATTTTCGGTATTTTATAACTATTTTGAGTGTTTTTCTTGTTTCTACCTGCTGTGTTTGATGAATTAAACTAAACTAAAAGTGTTAATAAGAATAACTGGAGGTGAGTGAGAATAAAACATGCCTTGAGATTTTCCTAACCTCTGTGAAAACAACAAGAAAGAAATAGTTACATATCTATCCTGGACCTCTTAAATATGCCTAGAATAAATGATGAATCTGGTAGAGGTATTGATAGAATCCGAGGTATAATCTGGTCAAACTCCAATTCTCATATGAAATTGAACAAAAGCCAGTGATTGATTATGATGGCTGATGAAAACCCCAGTGAAAACCCCAAAGTGCCTCACATTCTGGATAAAAGTTATTATTATTGGTTATGGAAATTCAATCATTTTGTCAATGATTATTATTTTTTGTTTCATAAATAAGTTCATGAAGAACCCCAATAAGATGAATCCTGAAATGTATACTTTTCCAGGTAGGTACATCTTTTCAAAACTCAAGGTGGTAGAGATGGGAGAGACTATCTATATAGGGGCCACACAATGTTCCTGGTAAGGGCAGAGGGAAAACATTGAAGTCAGAGATTTGAAATCAATCGAAATATCATTATCTGGTAATATATATTTTAGATTTTAATTTGAAAAATGAAAAACAAAGCAATATTTTTTCAGACTCCATCATTATCACACACCCTTCGATATCTTACTCTGATAGATAAACCAGCAGGAAGGTGGTTCTGATTTAGTCACCAGAGGTTAAATGGAGGGTTGAATTGGGAGATCAAGAAGAAAGATATAATTTGATTACTCACAATTTTGATTTTTTGAACTTTTGAAGTATACATAAATGGTCTCACTATTTTCAAAGAAAAATAAAGGTCATGTTTTTCATTTGGTAGTTGATGTTGTTTCATCATCTTCTATTCAGGACATTCCATTTCATTCGATTTGAACATTATTCAGTCTATAATTTTTTGACAATTTTTTTGTTTTGATGTTAGCAACTGATCAATTATACTGTGTACTATAATGCATAATATTTGGAACAGAAAGTCTTAAAAATTTTCGAGCAGAGTTTTTTTGTACATGAGGAGAATTGAAGTGAATACTGAATGATATAGGAGATAATAAACCATCAAGCATTTTATGACTAATCTGTTTTCCCGCACAATCAAAAATTGCCAAATAACTTCTTTTTCAAACTAGCCAACTTCCAACTCTCATGCACATTTCTATAACCATATATCATCATCAGTAATATCAGTATAGATATTATGGAGTGTAGAGTTTGGATCACCTACTGAGATGATTGTACTTAGTTATCAATATGTTCATATGCCTGTGAAGTGAGTTAGTGAAGTGAAGAGGTTATTCATGAAATTCCGATATTCATTTCGGATATTAGTGAATTAGTTTCATCAATATTATATTAAAATGAAGTCATATTTGTAGATGATATTTTTACATAATAGGGATGTAAATTTTACATAACATCTAGAGAATGTTATGTAATATTTATGTCAGTTTGTTATATACGTAACATCTTATTTATAGCAATGAAATTATATAAAATGTATATAAAATAGTGACATAATTGTTACGTAATAATCATGTAGTATTTGTGGCGGACATTTCGCCATAACAGTGATGTAAGTCTTACATAACATAGTTACATAACACGTATTGTCAGTTATGTAACACTTATGTCAATTTTACATAATTGTGTTTGCTGGGTAATCTCTTCTGTCAATTTCTATACAATAAAAATGTACAAAAAAATCAATTTACACGAATCCATTTGAAAGTTGAGAGTTATCAGCCAGGTCGAAATTGAAAATTCATTCGAACGTTTTTGTTCCATATTTCTTTGTTGAACCGGTCAAAGTGTGCCGTGTAAATTGGAGAGCAGTTCTTATAGCATTTTGTCTGATATTTCTGAATCTGATGGAATTTTTTGAGAAAAATGGTCACAAAGTGAACTTTTTTGACATAACAATGAAATATAAAATTTTACCAAGTCCGGACCTGGATATTTTTTTAATAATATGTTATCTTGAATCGTTTCAGTAGAGGTACGTTGCTGCCAAATTTCAGCAGATAACGACGAATCATTTCTGTAATATCGACCATCAAAGTTATATAGCAATTTCACATAATACCCTATATCTATCGTTATGGAGGGTCAAAAAATGTTTTCATATATATACATCAACTCGTCTTGATTTTCCCTATTAACCATTTGGCTATGTGAGTCTCCTCATGAAACACCCTGTATAATGAGAAAAAAGTCATTATAATGAGAAAAAAGTCAATATAATGAGAAAAAAGTTATTATAATGAGAAAAAACTCATTATAATGAAAAAAAGTCATTATAATGAGAAAAAATTCATTATAATGAGAAAAAAGTCATTATAATGAAAAAAAGTCACTTTATTGAGAAAAAAGTCATTATAATGAGAAAAAACTCATTATAATGAGAAAAAAGTCATTATAATGAGTTTCCAAAAAAAGAAAAGTGTGCGTGACACCAGGGTGCTTTCGTAAGACCCCGAAGGTTTTGTTGATAGTTGTTTTTCTACGAGCCACAGCCAATGCGCATGCGTCCATAATGTATCACGTGATTCACTGTGACCAATCTGACAATGAGGTTTGGGAATAGTTCGAAAACTCTCATATCCTGCACAAGATCTGAACATACACAAAAAAAAACTACTGAAGTTATGAGATGCATGTTATAAACTTGCAAAATATCAAATTTTGCGCTCGATTTTGCGGCAATGATGTTAGGACAACATTGAAACAGTCTTTAATAATAATTATTATTATTTATTTCTTATAAATCTATGAGCAAATTACAAAAAAATAATTACTTCCATAATTTCTTGATGGACATATTCTTTTCAGAATCTTTCTGCATAACTTTAGCCACTGCCATTTCAAAGTCTTCCTGTGTCACATGTACTCTTCTTTCTCTGAGGGCATACATACCAGCTTCAGTACAAACACCCTGAAAAAAAATCAACTATGAGCAGATTGCTGAAACTCTGTAGGAACAATAAAATTGTATTCCATCATTTTTGATTGAAAGAGTACACACTGAAATTTTGATTTGCTTACTTTGACTTCAGCCCCACTAGCACCTGGCATCAACTCAGCAATCTTTCTCAGATTTATGCCTCTGGTAAGATTCATCTTTCTTGAATGGATCTTCAGGATGTCCAGTCTTGCCTCTTCATTTGGTGGAGGAAATTCAATTTTCCGGTCAATTCGGCCGGGCCTCAGCAAAGCAGGGTCAAGAATGTCAATTCTATTGGTGGCCATGATCACTTTGATGTTTTTGGTTGCTTCAAAACCATCAAGTTGGTTCAGGAGTTCCAACATGGTTCTTTGCACCTCTGAATCTCCACCTGAACCTAAAAACCAAAGGATTAGCAATGAAAATGGTTCCAATCTGGACAGAAATATGTCCAACAATGTTTCTTATCTTAATCTTACCTGATTCAATTCTGGAGGAACCAATTGAATCAATTTCATCCATGAAGATTATTGAAGGGGCATGTTCTCTAGCCATCACAAACAGTTCTCTGACCATACGGGATCCTTCACCAATGAATTTCTGCACAAGCTCAGACCCAGACACACGAATGAAAGTGCATTCAGTGTGGTGGGCTACAGCTCTAGCTAGAAGAGTCTTTCCTGTACCTAGAAAAGATCACACTATTTGCAGTTGATGAAATGAGATAATTGATTTCTCACCTGGAGGTCCATAGAGGAGTACTCCTTTAGGTTGAGCAATACCAAGAGCATCAAACAATTCAGGATGCTTCACTGGCAACTCAATCACTTCTTTGATTTCTTTAATCTGTTTGTCTAGACCACCAACCATTTCATAGGTGGAGTCTGGAACTTTTTCAACCATCATGAGTGACACAAGAGGATCAACCTACAAAAATAAATAAACAAAATCTAGCCTCAGTGCCTCAACAAAGAATTGATGTTATGGTACCTTGTTTGGTAAAATTTTGTGAAGGGTATAACTCTCATTTCTGAGAGCTACTCTGCAGTTGGGAGTAACATCATTAATATCAATGTTTTTGTCAACATCAACAACAAATTTTCCTTCAGGATGTACTTTGACAAGGACTTTCTTCTTGTCCATTGGTTTCACTACCTCTCCTACATAGCTACCCTGTTCTTGGAGCAGCATAAGTTCTTCTCTGAGCATACGAACTGTAGAAGTGACAATTTTATATGACATGGACCTTCACTAACAATTTTGAACATGGATTCTATGATTATTGATGAAACCAGCCTACCTTTTGCATTGAGTTCATTTCTCTGTGCTTGAAGACGTCTGAGATTTTGGCTCTTTTCAGCAACAATTAGTTGAAGTTCTTCAATTTTTGTTATGTAGTAAGACCTGAATCCCTCTCCTTTAGGCCCTCCATCAATCTCCATCTGAAAATCGTTTTTTGATGAGACAAAAATCAATGATTTAGTGAACTATGATCAATTTATGATACTTTTTCTTCAATAATTGTATTTGTGTCAATCTTATCACAGTCAAAAGTGAATTCATCAATGGATTTTGTTCTTCGCTTTTTTTTTCGTGGAGAGTTACCAGGATGTTTAGATGTGGATACACCTTGTCCCATTTTCTATGAATTTTATGTAGAGAAATTTTATTTGATTGACATTTTCGAAACAAATGAATTTGTATGTGAAATTTCAAAGGAAATATTTCAAAGCATGCATTATTCTTCAATATTACCTTATTGATAACGGTCATTGTACAGCAGTTTCAAAGTCTCTGACAAGAAAACCTTTTACTTTTTCGCAGACTTTTTTGGACACTTATTCCGTTTTCACCAGCCTAGAAAAATCTTAGCAGAAAAGAAAAACAATTGTGAACATCTCCGAAAATTGTGGAATCACCATTTTTGACATTTGGTATATGACATTATTGACATAAGACATAAATGACATAATGACTAATGACAGTGGTGTAGTGGTTGTGTGTTTTAGGTATGGTAGTGCGGTGTAGTGCATAGTGTCGTAGTGGTAGAGTAGTGTAACTAGTCAGGTTAGGTCGGACTTCAATCCGATTTTTGCCTTCGATTGTAAAAAGAAGAAATTCGCATAACCTAAATCAGTGACATAATTGAAACTGTCAGATGATTCGAAGTCGCAAGCAAGTTGATTGAATTTTGGATTATTTCTCGTCTTATTATTGGAGATTTAATTGATTGGTTGCTTATCGCTCAATGTCTCAATGATTGAACTCTGGCTCCAGCTTAATTGATGTTTCGTAATATTATTCTAGTTAATCATATAATTGTGTGATTTATGCATACCATACTATTTCAGTATTTCATTCAGTATTCAACAGTCTCCAGTCACGTTCATTAGCTTATTATAATTTTGATGTGCTCCTCCACAAAGGATGAAGAATCAACATTCAACAGGCACCTCTACACGATCGAGGCTTGATAGTTTTAGTACCATAAATGAAAAACCTGTGGATGATATCTCACTGCAGTTTTTCTATAATCCACACTCAATCACCTTGTTACTGATTTCAATTGCTGCTGTGATATATTTTGCATTCGTCAGGTGAGTTTCACTTATTTGGATATTAGGTATATATTTTCTAATTTGTCAAGAATGATACAGTGATGCAAATTTCAATGGGTACTTGGGGCACTTTTCAAAATGTAGCTCTTGAGCAGGGTTATTATCAGTATCTAATTGTCATTTTCTGAATTATGGTTGGACCAATTTGATTCATAAAATCAATTTTCCACTTAATTTGGAATTTGACCTAGTAAAATATCAACTCTTGCTATCTCTTGAGGTTACAAAGTTATGATGAATTTTGATAATTTTTTATCAAGCCTGTGAAATTCTCAGTTGCCAAATATATTTGAAAAATTGTTTGTATTAGGTACTATAATTATGAGGGGAAGCTTAACGACTAAATATTATTATTATACCTAAAGACATTGGTTGGGAAGAATTTCAAAATTAGGATTCTGTTTACAGTGTTTACCTGTATAGGCCTATAGGGTGGGGTGATTAACTATGAATTTCATGCTTTCAATATACCTATAGATAGGTCTCGAGATAGGTACTCAACATCACAAAAACTGAATAAGACATTTTAAACTTCAAGTCAAAATTTTGAGTTAGGGATGTTTTTCTTTTTTTGTATTATAGACATTTTCACACCCCCTGTAGATGGAATAGAGATATAATGTTTGGATATCATCATTAGAAAGAGAACCACATCACAACCAATTCTTAAGGAACACAACATCCTGTATGTTGAGGCAACTGAATTAAGAAGACACTCTGTAGTGTAGTTTAGTTTCATTTGAGGCTTATAATAGGGTGTCTGGAACTCGGTCTGGAAGGTTCAACATCAAATCAATAATTGAGATGAAAATCCTTTTCATAAGAGATGTAGGTAATTTCAGTTGTTCTATGGATTTTCTGCACCCCTCTTCAATAAACAGACATATTTTTCCGGGAAATCTAAACAGTGGCGTACCCCCTGGCATATCACTAGTGGATAAAAAAGTTATAGATCTTTTCATTACCTACAACTTTGCCACTCAACTTTTTCCCATAGGGTTTGTTGTTTTGCCGAAAATCGAAATAAACCGTTTAAAAACTCACCTCCCACTCATCCACCTCAAATCGCCCCTAATTTATTTGGGTAGGTTGCGTTCGGCCCAATTTTCGGTTGGTCCAATTTTCGATTCGCCCACCATCTCCGAATATATCCGAACGATGCGTTTTTGCCAAATCTGAATGAAGAATCACTCTGGGCTTATCATTATTAAATATTTCAGTTTTTTTATACACATAATTTGTATGTATGGTACATATTTCGATGTGCCCAATTTTCGATTCACCCAATTTTCGATTCGTCCAATTTTCGATTTACCTCAAAATTCGATTCACCCGAATTTCGATTGACTGCCTTTTCCAAACTACCTAACCTACCTAACCTAACCTAACCTACCTAACTCGGCCTAAATGAACGTTCTTCCTAGAAAGTATATTTTTCGCATACTTAATTACTTGAGAGAACATATGAGACTTCTTTTTCGAAAAAATCTAACCTTACTCGGCCTAAGTGAATAATCTAATCTGACTCTGCTTAAATGAACCTCCCTAAAAAGTACTTTTTTTCGGAAAATTACTTGAAAGAACAAATGAGACTTATTTGTTCAAATAATCTATCTTGACTCGTTCAAATGAACCCTCATCCTAGAATGTATATTCATTTTTCAACAATCGAAAATTGGGTGAATCGAAAATTGGGCGAATCGAAAATTGGGCGAATCGAAAATTGAAACGAAATGTTGGTCCAACGACATATTTGAATGTGAAATGATTGTTGATAATTCCCGTTTCATTGAATCCGAGGAGATGTGGCATCATTTGACAACAACGCATCTTTCGGGTATGTTCGGAGAATCGAAAATTGGGTAAATCCTCGGGTAAATCGGAAATTGGGTGAATCGAAAATAGGGCGAAACGAAAATTGGGTCAAAAGAGACGTTCCCATTCATTTTCCCTCTCATCTTTGATATATGCTATTCCTTTTCCAATCGGTTTCATCCTAATATATACAGTGTGACCCACTTCTAATGAAACCACCCCTGTATCTTACGTATTCGTTGGGTACGGATCCTGAAATAAATTTGCTGGAGCCAGAGATATACCAAAAATACACTCTATGTCCAAGTGGGGTCATCTTCAGTGATATACACTGCTCGCCAACAGCCATGAAACCACCCAAATTTCCGGAAAATGATATTAGGAGTCAAAATAGGTCGAAAATCACTTCAGATTTGGAATCAGGACGCCCAATTTACTGACTATTCAAATTTTTCCTGGAAAATTTTCAGTTCGGAAAAATGAAATTTTGTCGCATTTTTTATGGAATCACCCCCGTATCTCACGTAATTATTGAGGTAGGGTTCTGAAATTTGCCGGAGGAAGAGAAAGTCCAAAGATAAAGTCAATCACGTGAGATACGGGGGTGCTTCCATAAAAAATACGACAAAATTTCATTTTTCCGAACTGAAAATTTTTCAGGAAAAATTTGAATAGTTAGTAAATTGGGCGTCCTGATTCCAAATCTGAAGTGATTTTCGACCTATTTTGACTCTTAATATCATTTTCCGGAAATTGGGGTAGTTTCATGGCTGTTGGCGAGCAGTGTATATCACTGAAGATGACCCCACTTGGTCATAACACGTCATAGGGCATTTTTGGTATATCTCTCGCTCCAGCAAATTGCAGGATCCTTACCCAACGATTACGTAAGATACAGGGGTGGTTCCATTAGAAGTGGGTCACACTGTATGTTTCCCACTTTTTACCGTTTTCAAAGGCACTGGTCTAATTCTGTTATGTGGAATATATGTAGCATCTTCATTCAAGTATGCATAAAAAAATTAATTGGAATATCAACAACCTATTGAAACTACACGTATGTTACCCGAGATGTTACCTTCTCCTCATTTTCAGAATGTCTCATTTCTTTTGAAAATTTATATAGACGGTAAATCCAGGATAAACCCATAATTTTCGTAATTTTGGCAATCAGTTACAAAACATGTAGATACTGTCCATAATAATCTTTCTCCCTAATATGACCTTGAATGACATTTTTGAAATAATTTTTCCATATTATATGGAACATTTCGAGATACGCTGTAAAGAGGTAATGTAGACCGGACATTCAAACGATCATCATTTATTTCAGAGATACGAACAACCTAGAAAACAATATATGGGCGGGCGTCCTATGCTGCAGCTTCTTTTTCCTCATCATATCAGTTCTAGCCTTTCCCAATGGTCCATTCACTAGACCCCACCCGGCCATATGGCGCATGGTATTCGGCATGAGCGTGCTCTACCTCTTCATCTGCCTCTTTGTGCTCTTCCAAAACTACCAAACCGTACGGAGCATCCTCCTTTGGCTCGACCCCAAACTCAATGAGTTCTCCATAGACTTGGACAAAGAATACGGAGTGAACTGCTCCGACATAACTCCCGAAAGGATCTGGGGCCACATGGATATTTTCGCTGTGGGGCATTTCTTCGGATGGATGTTCAAAGCTGTGCTCATCAGGCACATGGGGATACTTTGGGCGATAAGTTGTATGTGGGAGATCACCGAGCTGGCTTTCGCCCACTTGTTGCCCAACTTCGTGGAATGTTGGTGGGACGCCTTGATCCTGGATGTGCTGCTGTGCAACGGTCTAGGTATTTGGTGCGGCCTCAAGATATGCCAGATTCTGGAAATGCGCGAGTACAGGTGGGTGAGCATCAAGGACATCAACACCACCACTGGAAAGATAAAGCGGGCTATACTGCAATTCACCCCCGAGAGCTGGACTTCGGTGAGGTGGTTGGACCCTAAGTGCTCTTACATGAGAATATTCGCGTTGTGTCAGCTGGTGCTTTTCTGGCAGACTTCTGAGCTCAATACCTTCTTTCTCAAGCACGTTTTTGCGTTACCTTCCTCTCATTATCTGGTGATCGCACGGTTGTTTATAGTGGGGCTGGTAGTAGCGCCATCTATCAGACAGTTTTACAGCTATGTCACGGACACTTCATGTAAGAGGGTGGGTACCCAGTGTTGGGTGTATGGGTGTATCATGGTGGCGGAGGCGCTGATTTGTATCAAGCATGGGCAAGAGCTGTTTGAGAAAACTTTGATAGTCAATATGGTTGTGTGGCTGCTTATTTTGGTGATAGTTTCGGTGGGCTGTGTTTTTGGCTGTGTGATGTACAACCGATATTATCCGGATTCTTTGGAGTCTAGTCCAGTTAAGAACAAGGTCAAGGTTAAGTTTCAGAACGGAGAGGAATTGAGAAGTAAACGAGAATGAGCAGTGAAAGGATATTTCTAGGGACCGATTTTGAATTGTATTTTTTTGTCAAATGAAGGGCACATTTTTTTTCATATACATGACATTTGGGACACGCTTTAAGAGATGATAGGGCCTCTGGAAAAAATATGAGAGAGATTTCTATAACATAGATAATAGTATTATTTCAATATATCGTCACTGCCTTTGAAGTTATATTAATAGAAAGTGAAAAAATAAGTTTATTCGAATTGGTCAAAAATGATTTACGAAGTATATATAGGTACTATGCCCGGTAAAACAGACTTGTTGGTATTATGATTAGCTGTTATAATAATAATAAAAGTAATTTATTAAACAACAATGTTCAAATGGCTATCGACCAATGTCATTCTGCCATCTGTTATATCATTTCGCAAAAATGCAAAAAGTTGAAAGTTTTCAAACTCTCACCCGAGATAACAAAATAAGTTGGGACAAAATGTTTTCTGTGGCGGGGAAAAAGTTTGACATTTCATATCTGTTGACAGGTTTCAAAATGTCACTTTTCATAAAATACTTTTTTCCCACGGAGAAAAAGTGAATACAGGGCGTTTCTTATATGTGTTAAAAATTCTGGAGCATGTTTCTGACGTCAAAATAAGATGGAAAGTTATTCGTTTCTGAGATAAAGTGTGTCCAATTTTTTATGTTATATCGGTTTTTCGTGAATAAATTCCAAAATAATCCAACTTTGACACTCTGTATATCAGAAATGAATAACTTGCGAACTTGTGTTTATACGAACTTTTCTGCTCATTTTGACGTCAGCAACATGCTCCTGAAATTTTCACATACTTAAAAAACACGCTGTATATACACTGTTAATGGCTTTTGTTTTGATATGGTTCCAAAAAAGCCAATAACAACGTGTCCAAGAAAGAACAGCAAGTCCTTTTATCTTCCATTCCACTTCGCGGTTACTTATAAATTACTGAACAATCACTAAGTTCGCAATTTTTTAAAATCTAATCATAGAATTATTAGACTGACAGATATTTGATTACTTCGGAAGAATGATAAAAATGCCTGCAAAAAGATGCTGGCAACAGTGGCAACGCAATATTGATTCTTCCTTTTTCCTGTCACAAAAAAAATAGTTATTTATCATACAAGGGAAAAAAGTAGTAGATTCTAGCTACAGGTTGTAGCGTAGCGCCAACGGAGATGTAATGCCAAACTTTTTTCCCGTCACAGAAAAATAGTGTATTATACACGGGAAAAATATTAGATTTTAACCCACAACCTCCAGCTGAAATCTGCAACTGTTGTCAATTGTATAATAAATAACTATAAAAGCATTTGACCTTGGACAAAGAATATCCAACCACCAGGATAGATATAATTTTGGAATTATAACATTATATCACATAACAGATTACTCTTTGGCATTGCAACAGTCATACAGGGGGAACATGAGAATTTTCAATCCATATTCCCAACTTTAACGCTCTCTATTTCGCATAGGAATGGGTTATTATAGGACATATATATGCTGGAAAAAAGTTCTTTAATTTTTTTTATACATCCTTTCACCTCTTGAAGTGCTTCTTCCCCCATTCCATGAAGTACCATGTGTATGAATATCAATTTTTGTTCAGTGTGAATTTTGAAAATGGAATAAATTTCTTATTCAACTATGGACCACCCTGTATTAAAAAAAATGATTTGCTAAGTATTGGGATTTTCATGTCCTACCTGTAACCAAGCCATTTTATCTGATTGCAAACAATGAAAAATAAATTTAATGTTCTGAAAACTACTTCAAATTGGTACAAAAATTTCCAATTCAGCTTCTATTTTCGTTGTACATAGTGTTTTTCTATTTTTGCTTGTGGCCTTTTTTTCTAATACAGCATATATATATTTAATTTTTTTTTTTTCATTTTCGAAATTCACACTATCTTTTCCGGATACATAGTAACATTATCTCAATGTATATACATAATATTATTGTTGCCATAAATGTTTTATTATGCATGAAATAATGAAAATTTTTCAGAATATTATCTCCTAAATTATTCTTTCGAAAATATAATGGAGGCGGATAGCATAATATCAACATGAACAAATCTGGTTTAGCTTGATATTTATACAGGGCTGATTTTTTGCAGTCATTCTTACATGAAATGTTCATATCACGATTTGTCGAAAAAGAAAATGATTGTGTCAACTGTTTGAAAAAATTGATATTTTTTAATCAAATTATATCTGAATTAGCCCCTTATTGGAGAAAAAATAGCCAATATCCTTTTGACTTGCCAAGCAGGTATGTTTTTGGAGCTATTCACATTTGAATCGCACATGAACAAAATATTAAATACTATTTTTGCTAAGTTTGATGCTTATTTTCTAATTCTGTATAGATGTTAAATTTTCTACCGACCTCTCAATAGTCTCGGGTTGATAACTAAATATATCGTCCAGGACTAATTGTGTAGGTAGGTACCTACTTTTCTTGAAGAAATATTGGTTATTTTCCCATGATAATTTTGAGAGGAATGCAAATTGCCATATTTATAATCTTCTGTTTCTAGTCAGTTTGGCTAGATGATTAGCCATGTGAGACAAATAATACATGATCATTATATTATTTTATGATATTTCCATACTGTTTTCATTGTTTTGTGCTAATGAAAATCGACATTGTGTAACTGAGTACTGAGTGGTGATTCATTTTGATATTTTGTCTGTGCTCATATTTTTTTAGTCTTATGGAAGTAGAGAAATTAATAACTTGACACTTGACTGTTACCAAAGATTATAATAAATCTTGTTAAGGAACATGTGTTTATCTCATTTTTGAGTTGGGTACAAATGGCTTTCTGAGGAGTTGAAATTATTCCCTCATTGGTCAACAATACTGAAGGCACTGTAAATTTGAAAAATCCTCGTCTCTATAAATGAAAACGTTAGCCTTATTTCAAGACAAATTCAACATAATTTGTCCAAGATCAACCGAGAAATATTTTCCATTTGTATGTTGAAAACGGGAGCTGATTCTTTCTCAAAACGTCTCAAGGTCAGTGAAATTTTAAAAATTTTCAATAGGCTTATATTCTTCAACCAAAGTGTCACAGCGACTATCGATTAATTTTTCTCAGATTCCTATACTGGGTGTCCCTGTATACCTGTTCCGATGAATTATCTCAGCCATCTCGAAAAAAAAAAATTCGGAAATTTCATGATCTCCAATTCATTCAAGGAAGCTTGAACTGAGAAAATCAAAAATTGAAAGTCACTTCCGGTTTGACCCTGTATTTTTTTGCACTTTTTCATTTCTACTCAAAATTACCGTTCCAAGGATGTATCACACGTTGTATTTTAAATTTGATTTGATGGAGAAAACGACAATTGAAATTTCAAATTGAACGAATTGCAGTAGGCTACGATATTTTTGTAATCTTGATTTTGACGTCAATAATAATTTCAAATCATTAGAATGGGGAAGACCACTGATTTTTTAAAACGACATTATCGTGAACTCTATACTGAAAAACTACCAGTGAATTAATTTTGAATTTTTTCATTCATGCTGAGACGATGAAAAAAATAAATAGTATATGTTTTCATTTCAAAACACACAATTCCTGCGCCATTTGAAATTTCATCAATTCATTGGTGTGACTGGTGCGAGGTCTTAGTCCCAACACGCCTATTGTCCTTGAACTGACCAATTACACTGCAACACTGTAGAATGACGTGGTATCAGAGAGAGAGATAGCTACAGTTCGGGACTCTTACGTCACGACTCCACCATCATATTTGGCTGTTTGAAATATCGAATGAAATATGCTGATTTCAAAACGATATAGATTAGATTCCCTTCAACTTCAACTCATAATATTGATTGTACATAAAATGTAAATCATGATTCGTCGATTGAAAGAGGTTTGCACGGATTTCTTCCCTCAGTGCTCTTCCCCATTGTAGTAGATCATGTAATTTTCAAATTTTCATCTATCGAAATGGCTGAGATAATCTATTGGAACAGGTATACTGGGACACTTGGTGTAGCGAAATTTTTTTATCACAGCAGAAAGTTTGTTCCGGGGTACACAAAAACATTTTACCTCGCCTTTTACTAAAAAAATATATATTTCTTTTCATTATAATTTGTACAAAGGGCGCTTATTACAACTGTTTCACTTGCAATAAATAGTCAAACTTAACAATAAAATTTCAAGTTAATAAACAATCTCTGGTATATATGTACATTGGTGCTCAGCTGTCCATGGGATCAGCAATGATGAGCTCGTCGGGCTCAGACGTGCTTATCGTTATCATCATTTTTTCTTCGTTACTCGAACTATCCGAGGATGCTGACTGTGTTGAAGTTGCCGCTTCCTGAAAAACAATCAATGCACCAAATCCGTTGAAGAAATGTATGAAGAAAATCTCTACCTGGGAATAATTGACGTGAGTGATGGCATATTTGATGTTGTTTTTACTATCCGTTATCCACACCGGTTTCATGTCGCTCTGCTGATTCTGCTGTTGATTTTCAGATTCCGGTTCGGGCTGATCTTGGTCCCAGGATTCGTCTTCGTCTGGATCATCAGTCAGGTCCTGCCTCTGGAAAAAACCGAAACCAACATAAGATACCAATGCACAAACAAATTTCTCGACAATACGTCATCTTCCCACCAAAGCGGTGCAAGCAAGATCTTTAACATTGACATTCTAGTGAGATTGAACACCGCATATGTTGGTAGCTAGTTGGACAGAGCACTTCTATCTAAGAGAAATTCCTAATTGTACCAAGGTAAATAAATCGATGAGATCGATTCGTTAATTATTGTTTATCGGGGAGTGAATGACTCGAAGATAAGTCTTCGAGAAAATAATAAAATTGTAAATGAGAGATCATGGTCACACAAACATTATTTCTTGAGGTTGACCTTCTTAAGTTGAAATGAACACCAATACTAGCTGATGCCTAAAGCAGAATATAGAAGTCGTTGAAATATGTATACAGAAAGCATCCTCAATGTTCTCAATCTCGAGTTATTTTTACATGTATCACGCCTATTCATCTTGCATATTATTCTGATTGCCCCAGCAGAATGTTCCATTTTAGAATGGAAACTAGCATCATAATCATTTTCAGGATATGGAGTACCATGCTTTTGTTCGTCATCGCTCCCAAAAAATAACAGATCCTGTTGAGTTTATTATTAAGGATTGAAATATGATGTTCAGTTCGTTTCTTATATAGAGGCCCGTATTTATAGTCGTTTCCTCAAGAAATCCTCAAGTCTTTCTCATCTGAGGATTCCTTGAGGACTCCTCAGCACCTGATGTAAAACTTGTTTTATAGATCCCCCTTGAGTAGTCATCCTAAAAGGAGCCCTCACACTTGGCAACAGTATTAGTGTTCTGTGACCAAATTTGTTGTTTCATGTCACGTGATTGTCACAAATTGGAAAATGTCAAATTTCTCAAAAAACTCAAGTTTTTACTGTGGACATCGAAAGTATGAATAAAATCGTAATAATCTTCAAAGGTTGATAAATTGGGCCATATTTCTTGGATCACAGATGATTAACAAACAAAAAATATACGAAGTTCCGCAAAATAAAGAGGAGGTCAAATGGTTTATTGTTGGCAATGTTGAAAAATTACAATTCAAAAATTAAGTACTCTATTAAGAAGGGATTCTTTCAAGCTGCAATGAAATAATATGCTGGGAAGAGAACGAATAATCTATTTGATTGAATACTTCGAATGAATGAATGAATGAATCTGTGATTTTGTGTGGTTGTTCATTAAAAATGTATGTATTTCAAGTTCATATACAAATTAACAAGATGATATACCTATATATGATTGTGAATGTGCTGAGTTTCCATTATTTGTAACAGATAGCTATTATTTGAAATGAAAAAATATATATATACTTTTCACCTAAACTGTGTTCACTTACTATTACTTGTGACAATTTCTTCATAATTCTCATCTGACACCATAAAGGTGTGTGTTCTGTCTTGCTCAGAATCAAAAAGTTGTATTTCTTTCATTATGAAAACGTTATTTTGAAAATACGAATACGAGGACAACGGCCAGTCATACATACATAAACATATTAACCTCACAAATTCAGATCAATCGCTTTGATCAGTCAAAATTCTCCGAGCATTTTGTCAGATCGCTCCGATTTTAATTGCCGAACGGATGAGATCTACTTCCCCTACATCTAGATGTCATAAACGAACGATTCAGATTCATCGGAGCAGTCTGATGTAAAAACCGAACGCGACTATTGTAAGAAACTATTTCAATCCTTTGATTCCTGTGTAAACAAATAAAAAAAGTGAGGTTGTGTTTCAATATTTTACCTCCAGGTTCGGTCATCGTGCACGCGACCTATAAACTTCATTCGCTAGAAAAAATGAATAAAACGACGAATCCGCTCACCGTTATCCTCTGCTTCTGGTGCGTCTTCAGATGCTTCGACAGATGATCGGAGCGCATGAACTTCTTGTTGCACTCGCTGCACTGGAACCGCTTCTCCCCAGTGTGCGTCCGGCGGTGGCGCTGCAGCTCGTCCGACCTGGTGAAGCGCTTGCCGCAGAACAGCCACGTGCACACGAACGGCCGCTCGCCGGTGTGCCAGCGCAGATGCGCGCGCAAGTGGCTCGTCTTGCCGTACACCTTGTTGCAGCCGGGGATGTGGCAGATGTGCTGCTTCTTGCGGTCGGTATGCCGCTCGCCTGTAACGGAAATGTACTCGATGAGAACCAGTGCTGCCACCGCTCGCAATTTTTGCTGCGTACTGAAATTCTCATGGAAAAGGTACTGAAACGTACCGAAATATCAAGGTCTATTAACTTCAATAAGGTTATAGTATATCCAATGATTGGTCTGGGATTGCCTTCAAAGCCTGCTAACCCTGGCTAACCACAACAAGGTAACTCTTCAATGGGTGCCAGGGCATAAGGGAATTGAAGGCAATGAAGCAGCTGACGCTCTTGCCCGGCAAGGGTGTGCGACGTTGTTTATGGGGCCGGAACCTGTGTTCGGTATCCCCAAAACCTCAATACGCGGCTGGCTGGCAAGGTGGATGCAAGAAAGACATCAGGCATACTGGAACAATGTCCCAGGACAAAGACACAGTAAACTGATGGTTGGAACACTGTCCAAAACAGTGACTAACGACATTCTGAGCCTAAACAGAAGTCAGATCAAACAAGTGACGGGACTAATAACCGGTCACTGCCCCTTGAGGAAACATATGCATCAAATAGGCATCTATACAGACGAACCCATATGCAGACTATGCAATGAGGAGGAGGAAACTGCCACCCATGTAATGTAATATTGGAGTGCGAAGCACTAGCGCGTTGGAGATACAACCTTCTGGGAGCAGTAAACTCTCAAGAGGCATTTTCAAAGAATGATTTGGTGAAGAGGCTGCTAAACCTCATCAAGGTAGCGAACCTGTTCACCTAAGTCAACAGCATGATCAGGAATACAATAGGCCCAAAGGCTGCAGTGTTTTGGGCTTCAAACCCTGACTGATCATTCTGCTATTAATCAATCAATCAATCAATATCCAATATCAATTGCAGAATATCCCGCACTGTGCGGCGTCGGCGTGTTTGAAATTTCCTTTGAAGTGACTGCAGGTGCGGCTCAAGATTCTGCAATTGTTTTTGGATAAACTATACCTCATAGTATAGCATTAGGGTGCGGGGGGCGCGGAGAGGGCAACGATCTGTTTGAAAAAAAAAATTGAATTTTAATTCGAAAGATTCGCGAATTTTAGACTAGTTGAAAACGTGGTGACAAGAAGACCTTTGAAAGAGGGTGAGAGGCTGTATAATAATATGGTTTATTATTCAAACCTGTGTGGAGTCAAGAGTGGATATAGAACAAACAAATGTTATAAAAAGCCTGTGGTTACAATCAGCTGCTCTTGGGCAGCATCAACATGAGAACAACAGACAGAAGTGGTGAAAAGAAAAAAAAAAGAGAGTAGACCAACCAAAGATCTATTATACAGCAAAACCATTTCAATAGTTCTGCTATCCACTTATTAAAAGAAGGAAAGTGACCTCCTGAAGAAACATTACCTATCTACATGCAGGGTCAAGTAGTTAGGATGGAAATCAATGGGAAAATCATTCTCCTTTTATATAATTCAAGTTAATTTTATAGCGTATATCAGACTACTTTGTTTTTCGTTTTGAAGCCAATGAACTTGATGTAAACAACTATTGCATGGTACTCAGGAACACTGGTGAGTTTACCATCATGAAAACTGTATACTTACATTAATTTTGAATTATTTAAGGCAATACTTGCTACTTTATTTTTACATGAAGCAAGGAGTCTTGAGAATAAAGGCAATCAACTTCTTCTTTCCAAAGGATTTTACAAATAAATTTGTTCAGCATGGAGTTGAATATGAATCCAAAGCTCTTTCAAAATGTTCATTGAAAATAATATTGAATTTCAAATCATGCAAACAAATTTGTGTCCCAATATTTTCCATGGTTTGGATTTTTTCCATATTTATTTATTTATAAACTAACAAGAGTAGAAGCTAGAAGCTTATAAACTCTTTATACTAAAGTTATACATAAATACATAATCATGAAAGTAATTGCTTAATTCTAAAATAATAACTAATGAGGATTGAATCAACTATATAGGCCTGTCGTAGAAATTACATGAGTAGGAAATGTTGGGGAAATATGTGTGGGTTATCATTATAATGTTTGTCTAAAGAATTCTTGAAAGCATTCAGGGATGGCGCTGAGACTACGTTAGCGGGCAAACTGTTCCAGAGCTGGAAGGATCTGTTGAATAGTGTGTATTCGCGTACACATTTTCTGAATCTTTCGCGTTTCAGTTTGTATGGATGACCGCGCAACCTTTCACTCTCATAGATAAGTCTACTGTGTACCGATTTGTTAGGATTTTATAAATTTCGATCAGATCGCCTCGAGTTCGTCTCCAGTAATGAGTAGGCAGGTTTAAATGTTGCAGGCGATCGGCATACGATTTTTGATTCAGTCCGTTGATGATTTTAGTGGCACGGCGTTGGACACCCTCGATTAATTTGATATCGCGAATCAACCACGGTGACCAGACAGGAGCAGCAAATTCCAAATGAGGTCTGACATAAGTCTTGTATAAATTACACATGAGTGTAGGAGAAGGACTATGAAAAGTTTTGCTGATAAGGTATAACGCACTATTTGCTCGTTTCACTATTTTGTTGACGTGTTGGGACCAACCCATGTTGCTGGTGATTGTCACTCCGAGGTCGATTTGTTCGTCCACTACAGGCAAATCCGGGATTATTGCTACCCATATGCAGCACCATACACTTCGCTGAGTTCAATGGTAGTTTCCATACATATGAAATTATTTTTCAGGAAGGACGACCATGGACATAATTGAAATAGTGTCCTTACTGAGGTCCTTACATAGAGGTTTGTTAAATAATGTGTATAACATTCAGCTTGAATTATTTTCTCAAATTTTCAGGTAAAGAAAATGGTTCCGAACATTTTGTGGAACAATTCCAATTCTTGATAGGAGATGGAATAAAAAATGTGAAGTTGGAAGAGAGACACACTCATTATGGATGAATTCACTTGGGAAACTTGAAAATATTTCCCAGGTTTTTTTCCTGGGCGTTTTAGTAATACAATTTTCTGCCGAAAGTCCCTACGATGGATAGTTTCCCAGATACAGTACCTCGCATTCTTAGTTGGCCACCATGTAGTTGGCAACATCAATGTCGGAGACGGCTCCATGCAAAATCTGGACAAGTCCCGGGACCCGGCATTAATAATGTCACCAACTATAAGGGCCTAATAGTTTGAGTAAGATTGTCGATAACAGTTTACAAATACCCTCATGAATAGTAGCGCAACCGTTCCCGGGTTAATTCCGTCACAAACTCACCCTCCTGACAGTTGGGGCAGGTGCACGCCACCCGGCGCACGCGCTGCTTCTGCATCGCGTCCTGCCCGTCCTGCCCGCTCTGGTGGCCGACCGACCCGCCGCCGTCTCCGCCGCCCGTGGCCACCACCACGCCGGGCGGCAGCTGAGCGGACTGCGCGGCCTGGGGCGGCTGCGGGGCGGCCGGGCCGGCGATCACCTGCCACTTGTTGGGGTCGTTCGGGTCCTGCTGGATGTGCTGACCGACGGCGAGTTGGGGCGCGGCGGGCTGTTGCGTGATCACCTGGACGTTGCCCAGGCCTGGAAAAGGCGGGTTGATTGATTCAACGTGTTTTCAAGCTGAGAAATCAATGTTCGAGATTCTCCTACTCATCACTAGAATGTTTTTTGTATACAGGGTGTCCCGAAATTAGCTTGCCGAACTTCATCAGCGGCTTCTTCGACCAAAAAAAGGAAAAAAAGTTCCAATGAACATGAGTCAAGAAATGTCGTCTAAGAGAACTACGCCCCCCTGAAAGAAGGCTCCTGAAGATGATAGAAGAGAATATTTCCGAAACGCCACGTGATAAGATGATACAATTCGGTACGAGAACTAAACTTACCATACTCAATTCGGTGAACATAAAATAATTCCGAAGTTTCATTCTGGAGTGTATAATACAGGGTGGGACGTCAAAATAGCAGTGTCAAGTACATTTAGGAACTCTACTCATCACAAATCAGTTGCCTTCCTTAATGAATATTCAGATCAGATAAACAAAGTTTTGAACTTAACAACAATTGAGTAACTGGGATCATTGGATGCTGGCCAGTGGTAATTCAAGAGGAACACTGACAGAACTATACAGGATGATTGAAAATTCGACGTAAATATTCTAAGAACATATTATTGGGATCGAAATAAGACTGTCTGCATACAAAGTGTCCTAAAAATGCACCCCCTCCGAGTAATAGCCACTGTAATTAAGTAAATGAAACTTTATTTGCCACTGTGCCATATTCTTTATGTAAATTAAGGCACTTCATACTTTGAAATCTATAATACTATAGGTATTTTTATTCAATATTGTTCGAAATCATCAATCAAAGTGTTGTTTTGTGCAAAGAAAATATGTATTTTCAACATGGACCTAACCTATATTTTTGTACATACCTGGTATATTCTGTATGTTGGGTATAGATTGAAGATTAGGCACTTGGATGATATTCCCTAAATTTCCTAAACTTCCTAAATTTCCCACAGTATTCCTTACTTGCTGCAGATTTGCAGCTGGTATCACAGTGAATTGCTGCCCATTGGCGCCAGTAAATGTCAATTGGGGAGATGATTCCATCTGAAAATATAAAAAAGGTCACAATTTTCCTCCCAAATAGTAACATTTATATTTTACATTTGATTCTGATAGATTTTTTTTTTTCAGAGCTCATATAATAAGATTTGCACATAATAATTATGATTAGTTAAGAAATGTAAATGGATAAGGAATAATGGATATATGTTCATATTCGGCAGCAATTGTTTTTGAATTAATTCTCAGTCGTTTCCGCCACCATTTCAATTATTTTCATACATATCCAATTGTGACACGTTTGTTTGGGACATCATCTTAAATGTTGTCAAGTTGTTTATATCTGATATTACTCAGATGAATAAAAGAAAATTCGTCTGAGTGATATTAGTATACTATGTTTTGTGCAAGTAGTGTATTGTGGGGAAAAGCCAGAGGGATGTAGATGACAAGCACGACATTAAGTGACAACTGAAAAGTAACTGAACTTTAAAATTGGTATAATTTATAATTAATTAAAATATAAGCACGATGAAAACACTGGTGCGCTTGCTCCCTATTGAAGGTCATTTGCAAGTTTCTCGATAGCGCCTACTCTGATAAACCTTTGATAAACATACTTGACGTGGGTAAATCTCGCTAAGCTCATCCTGGTTACAATCCATATTTACAGGAAACATATTACCAACCGATAAATATTTGGATACGTATATGATTTGGATCAGAGCAGTGAACTGATTCCTGATCAAAGGATCGAAACGTCAATATGTCAAAAATATTCTTGAGCTGAAAAAATGGTTATTTCTGAGATCGGGGTCAAGTGGTCGTTAGGGACGTGTTCCGTAGTTTCTAAATTTTGTGTATAATACCTAATCCACCATAGAAAAAAAAAAACTCTGTTCTACAACAGTATTATTTCAGTGATTTAAAATATTAGCGTGAACTGGTGTTACCATATCTGCCTATTATGATTTTCGATATTGGTCTATTTCAGTAGTTGATACATTCTTTGTTCTGGTTCTTCAAAGAGGAAATTCATCAGATTTCATGCTTTAAATAGGTTCATGTCATGAAAGAAGTGAAGCTTATTAAAATCGGCTAAAAAAGATTTCTTGCTTCTATTTCAAATTAAAATTTGAATGAAAATGTTGAGCACAGTATTCATTCGACCACAGAACAATGATGGAAATAGATTCATCCCTCACAGAACCTAGGTTTTGAACGATTTTCCGATTATGGCGCCTCTATCGCAAATACCTGAACCACACGTCCAAAACTCGCTTGCAATTGTTCCATATCGAGAGTTAGTCTGACGAAACAATTGAAGAGTGAGCCCACCAGTTACATTTCTATACATCTCTGAAACAACAATCAATTGCCTGAAATCCTCCCGCAGATTATGATGTATGCTTTTTGAAGAAGGTTTTAAACTTCAAAATTTGTTCACTGAAATAAGGGACACAATTTGAACGATGTTACTTACTTGAGCAGTGGTTTGTTGCGGCACCGAGGTTGGGGTATGTTGGGCCACACTAGTTGCTATTTGCAACTGCTGTATCTGTCCGTTTGGGGTCAAAATATTGGCGTATTGGGGTTGTGCTTGGATGATATTCGGTACGGCAGTGGCGGCGAGTTGGACTGGAAAGTGGATGGTTTGGTAGACCGTCTGACCGTTTCCAGTTGATATGGGAACCTAAGAACATAATTTTTATTGCAAATTGTGAAATAACAGAAGGTTAATATTGCCAATGTAGAAAAATTTTTTGCCATATTTTCAAGGGTTAGATATTTCATATTGTGAAAGTAGGCTGCAAAGTATTCAAATGTGAAATGACAAATATATGATGCATGTGATGCATGAAATTGACGCCACTGTCAAAATTATTGTATTTCTATAAGATCAAGAATTGTTGAAAAAATAAGAGCAAGGACATCTTCCTCTGGACCCTACATTTTTCAAACTATATAATTATAATTATTGATATTGATGATAAAAGGCAATGCATTCGACGAATTGCAGTAGTACAAAATTTCTGACCCTTTCCAAGTGAAATATGGTCAACTGTCAATTATTGTGAAGTACTGAACATCCTTCTGTCCATGGTGTTTGCACTGATGCACTTTTGTTTTACCCGAACTTGACGACAATAAACAATTGAAATCGCAATATAAGGTTCTTGTTACATATTATTTCAATAGATGTCGCTGTACGAATTCCATTTCAAGGTTGGTAAAATTGATGATTATTTGTAGAGGAAGGTTGCCTGTGGTGAGGGGAAGTGGTAATTCGTGACGTAATCCCATCAAAAATTCCATTTCGGGGTCATGGAAAACTATATTCTACATTTTTGTCTTCAAGTATATTTACCTATCCAGGTGTGATCTAGATCTAGAGGCAACCTTCCTCTACAGATCATCATCAATTCTACCAACCTTTTGTTTTCTTCAAAATGAAAATAGGAACTCAAATCATCAGAATTTTATTAAACACTATCAAAAATCAACTTTTTTGTCGTAAGTATTAATGTTATTGTTATTTGATCCGATGGCCATTGAAAATATGACGATATCAGCGCCTCTTACGGATTTTCAAGGAACAAGAACCCCAAAAGGGTCATCAGTTCTTGAATAAAGTATCCATGGCAACCAGCCTTGATTATGAAGACCATATTCTCATGAACATCTCAGTTTTGACTCTACCAGTTGGAGAATTTTCCGTTTTATTGGCTTCATATTTCCCCTTTTAGTAGAGTACTAGTAGTAGGAACCATTAGTACTTTTGTGTCACTTTTGGTTGGATATTCAAATATAGAATAGCATAAGTGTGGATTGAGAAAACCAACAAAATTTTGTTCTATGATTGGCGACTCTAGTGGTTAGGACAATCCAACTTAGGTTAGAATCAGTATGGCCAATGTATGGTTGACATGGAAAAATTTTAAATGAAATTGTTTCCTTTCGTTTGTCTTAGTTCATTAGAGTTCTACTTCTAATATGGTCAGAAATTCATAAACGAAAATTATTTCAAATACTGTCCTTTTTGTGCCAACCAGAGTCATTGTTTGACATTTGACAAGCCGTTGGATTGCCTATAATTTGGCCATTTGACAAGCCGTTGGATTGCCTAATTTGGTTTCTTCTCCGATATTTTTCACCTGTAAAACAAGATTGTACATGTCGTTTCACCCATTCTACTGCATTTACCTCATTTTAGTACCAGCGGTAGACTGCAATAAAACGCAGCTTTAGGACTAAACGTCACTATGTCAAGTTACCAGAAAAGCAGAAATACCAACATGAAACTTAACATATATTATGAATACATAATGATACCAACTGATGTAAAATAAAAAACGTAAGTGAAATAACACGTCGACCAACTCGACGGCAACAACTTGAACAATGAAAACAAAGTGATCAGACTGCTTTGATCAGCTTTCAAAAACTCCGATAGGTGTTGTACGATGGCTACAAGGGCTTGATAAAGGGGATGTAAAAAACGTCACCTACAGAGAAATCGTAACAACATTTCTTCTTTTACTAGTTCTTACTTGTATCGGTATCGTTTGTTGCATAGGAAACTGCACCATCTGTGGAATGGAAGGCCTGACCGCGACGCTTTGTCCGTTGGCCAGCTGGACGGTGGACAGGTTCTGCAGGCCCTGGATGTTCTGCAGGCCCTGGATGTTCTGCAGACCTTGGATGTTCTGCAGACCTTGGATGTTCTGGAGGCCTTGGATGTTCTGGAGGCCCTGGATGTTCTGGAGGTTGGCGGGCAACACGCCGGCCGGCGCCCGGATGATCTGGCCCGGACTGAAGATTTGTTGGGGTTGTTGGGCTCCTGAAAATTCGAATCAGACAGGTGAGAATTGAATTTGGATAACTTTCTATTTGTCAATGAAGTTGGGAATCTTATTGACATAATATAACAAACTTCTAGCCTTTATAAGTTTTATTGTTATATTATTTCTGTAGGAAGGATATATTAATCTCTGTCTCAAGATTTAAAACTTGGGGTTTGAATAATTATTGTTGTTGGGGTAAAACTGCACTTATCATGTGATGGTTTTTTTTCGACAATTTTTTTTTGGTACGTATTTTTGTCTGAAAAACACGAATTTGTTAATGAAAATGTGAACAAACCACTATTTATCGAGAAAAAGTTCGAAATTTCGCCATCTTTTTCCCCCTATGTTGGGTGCATTTTCAGCTACTTGCTCTTCTTATTTTGTCATTGGACACTTTATATACTCATGATGTTCTTCAATGACACTTTTTTAAATAGAAAATTTAACACGATATAGGATTTTTATGGCGAGTTTTTCATATTCAGTAAACAATCATACCAAATGACGGCCATTTAATCAATAGTCAATCCAAATTCGAGATGTCAAATGTCAACAGATTGCTTTTGGATGACATTACACACGCCATTATTTTAAATGATATTCTTCCTTCTTTTTACTAAAGAATATGGATAAATCGCAAGAAAATCATATTTCCCATATAATAGAAAAAAAGGTGAAACTGCACTTATCATGCGATGGTTTTTTTTTCGAAAATTTTTTTTGGTACTTACGTATTTTTGTCTGAAAACACGAATTTGATAATGAAAATGTGAACAAACCATTATTTATCAAGATATTTCACTATAAAGGTACAAATTTCGTCTGTCTTTTGGATCGCATCGCATTTAGAATAATTTGCCCTTCTTTTTTCATCATTGGACAATTATTTATATATCACAATGTACTTCACACATTTCCCGAAGTTTTTTTCGGTTTTCCTGAATATTATATATTATACCCAATTTCAAAATCAAATATAAAAAATACACAGATGGTTTGCCTATACACCCTATCCATGTTCTCATATCTACAGGGAGATACCATTGACAACATAGACCTATTACAAAAATTTTTGAAGTTATCCCAATCGAATGGAAATATTTTAGGATTTTGTTCTAGGACATATTATGATTGCTTGATATGATTCGCTGAAATGGTTTCAAGAATATCTCTCTCGCAATTTATTTTTCAAGGAAAGTTGACGTTTTTTTGAATTGTCCTCAATTTCAGCTAATTCGAGACTACTAAATAATCATTCAGTCATGCATATTGCGATTTGGACTTTGAATACTCTATTGACAATATATAAAGGGAGTGCACTATACAGGTTGTCTCAAATTCTAATCGGGAAACTTCAATAGACGATTGAAATCAATGATATAAGAGAATAAAAGGATGAAAATTTTGATAAATTTGTAGGTATGTTTTGAAGCTTCGTTTTCAAAATGTAGTGTTGATGTTTTTTTTTAATATTTTGTTAATTACAGCTTGAAAACCTTTTAGCTGATTAGCTGATTTTTGTTGAGCTGGTCAGTTTTGTTTGTTATATGAAAATGTATATTTTGGCTTAATTAGATTCATCGTATAATTATTCCAGTGGCACACCAGAGGGTTACTTGATTGACATTATTTGTGGAAAAATCGTTGTGCGTCACTGTTTACTTCAAATTTGATATTTTCCGAGATATTTTCATTCAAATAAAAACAATAAATGAAGATACAAACAGATTTTTTGTATCTAGCTAAGTACAGTATAATTTATGATGAACTCATTGCATAGGTGAGAAACTTGATATAGTTCACCTACCTACTGGGTGGGTACTTGAATTAATTTGAATAAAAAACTAATTTTGAAAATGATAATTAACCTTCTATTATTATTTGCATTCCATTTCCAGTCGAAAAACTTGCAGGTTCTCCAACATAAAAATTTACATTTTCCAATGTTCCAATTTGGATGTTGTCGTTATTGTTTACCACTGTTGCCAGAGTGGGCAAGTTTGCTGGAGAACTATCTTCAGTAACATCCACTGTCGCACTGCACTTGTCACTTTGTTTATGTTTATTTTCACTAACTGTCTCTCGGCTTTCTGTTGTTTCGCTCACAGTCATATCAATAGGCTCGTCTTGTTCGTCTTCTATCACAATCTCCAAGTCTAAATCCAAATTTTTTTCGTATTTATCATTATTCGCGTTTTTGTCTCCATTAGTGAGATGCATGTCAAGTTTCTTCGGGCTAGTTTTTTTCCACTTGTTGCTGACTCTCGTTGAATATAACATAGAGGGTGATTCTCGAATCCCGCCTATTCGAAATCGATTGTGAATTCACGAATAAACTTTGAATAAGCTTTACAGAACTACCGAATAAATTTTCACTCAACTGACACTGAAACTGAACTGACGACCAAAACCGAATCTAAGATTTTGGCTGAAGCTGCAAATTCAAGGGCGTAACGTAAACATCAGTTTGGGGGAATAATTCAACTGGGCACTAGGCCGTATACCTACTTAATCTTGACCATAATGAAGAAGGGATGCAAGTATAAGTGGGTTAGTATAAATTCGCTAAAGTCTTTACAGGGCGATAAAAAAACGATTGGATAGGTCAATTTCAATATCAGAACGCGCATGTGCTGTATAATATAACCCTTTATTAATGCCGTCATAATTGTGGAAAATAAGTTTGGCATTCCATCTCTGTTGGTAGGTTATAAAATGTCACTTTTCATAGATGAGTACTTTTTTCCCGGATATATATCACATAAATATACACAGTTGATGGCTTTTGTTGTGCTATAGTTCCGAAAAATGAGTCAATAAAACCGTCTCCGAGAAAGAACTGCAAGTCCTTTTATCTTCCATTCGACTGCGCGGTTACGTATATTACTAAACAACCACTAAAATCGCAATTTTTTGAAATCAAATCACAGAATTAGCCTGACAGAAGTGACATCAGATATTTGATTACTTCAAAAGAATGATAAAGATGCCTACAACGCAGGTGTCCCTACTGTTAAAAACTTAAAATTTCACGTCGATAATTTTTAGATTTCACAATAATGTAATATCTTCTCGATATTGATTCGACATTTCTTCTGTCACTGAAAAAATGTATTATACACGGGAAAAATATAAGATTTTAGCTCACGGTTTTTTGTCTCCCTCCGCTACGCGTCGGGAGACAACACAACCTGGAGCTAAAATCTTCTACTTTTTTCCCTTGTATAATATATAACTATTATATTATTTCTTGGATGACTTCATTCAATTTGAAAAATGAAAATTTGCAATTCAATGATTTCAAATGGCACCATATATTTTTTTCATTTTTTGAATTGTAACCACAAATTACCTTTCCAACGATGTATCAACTCTTTGTATTCCATATTCAAGATCATAAAAATGCAGCACTTGAAATGTCGAATTAAAGAATTTGCGGCAACGATTTTTTTAGATGAAACCTTGATATTTAAATTTTTCAAATAACTTTTTACGTTACCTCGCCATCTAACTGTCAAAATCGATTTTTCGGTTATAGTTCTATACTGCTCTAATATGTAATAAACCGTGTTCCTTTATGTTACGGTATTGATGGATGACACCAAGGATGACACTGTAGGTATATCGCGAGAAAAGTAACTTTTAATAACATTGAAAAACTGAAAAAAAACAAAGCTCTATTCTCGATTCAAAATAAGGAAGTTGAATTTTTGTTTCGTCGAAATGAAGAGTGCGGGTTTCGAGGCGGGTTTACCTATATAAAATCTTAAAAATTTCAAGTTTGTATCATCTCAAATAATAGAGATGCAATTTCAGTAGGTACTAGGGCATTGGTATATTCTTCTGCCCTGATTTAGTTTCAATTTTTCATCTCGATTGATATCAGACGATTTTCCACCGGAAAAATGCATTGATCTGTTCGAGTCATTCAGTGGTTAATGAATATCAATAATTATTAAATACATACAAAAAGCTCAAAGTCGTAAAATGAACAACAATGGTAGTTTTCGGGAGAAATATATACAACTATTTTGCCACGCTGAACATTGAATTACATCCTCCCGAAATCTATGCATCGACTCGAATAAACGAATACTGATACAAGTGATTCTTTCCTGAATGCCTATTGATTTCGATTTAGCCAAGCCACGCTAGACACCTACAGACAGGTTTCGAGCTCTTTGACTCTCATCAGTGCAGGGCAGTCTTATTATTTATTTATTGGGGGACCACATAATGATAATTATTATTATTATGGTATTAGGCACAATTGACATATTCCATGCATAGGCAATATAGAATTTTACAGTGTCATTAAAACTATCGGAAGGGTCGTGTATGGTTTAGTCGTTTTCTGGGAAGGGCCCTTTTAAGGGTCTCGGAGGTAGTCTCTTGACTGTTGGCCCGCTGGCCACTACCTGGGTGGCGTTCATTTCGACATGAGAGGAAGGCCCAGCACTGGGGTTGGCACTTTATAGGGTGGAGCATAAGTGTTTGCCATAAAACCTATTTTTATGAAAATATCCGGAAATAATAGTTATTTTTGTGCTAAATGCTACTTTGGTGATCGAGATCTGATTTTCTTAAAGAGGCGTCGAGATGGCCAAAGTATTTCGCGCTCGAGTTGCAAACAAAATTTTTTCTACAAACGTCAAAAAATATAGTTCTAAAGTAAAAATGTTCTCAGCTTGATATAAAAAATAGTGTTGAAATGGCTTGAAAGGCCTCCCCTTATCCTCCCTAGGTAGGCACGATGTTCCACGAACATAATAGGAATTTCCTTTCGTGCACTCCAAGAGATAAAACAAAGTTATTGTTGAACATTCAGAAATAAATGAAATAAATAGTGGACGTTTGCTCGATTGAGGACCATGAAGTTGAAATATAAATATCTCATATTTAACATAAAAATGCGCGAAGTAGGTACTTCGCGCACTGTTTTACTTCGCGCATTGTTTTGTGCAAGGTATCATGGTAACGAAGGAAACTGAAAAAAAGTGTCACTTCGCAATTTGGTATCAATTCATTTATTTTCACCCCTGTTTTTGAAGGAATGTTTTGCACAAATTAATACAATAAATTAGTATTTAGTTTTTTCCACGGAAACGAAGCAAATCAGCAAAACAATTCGAGAGACCAAAATGTTGTATTTTCAGTTGGTTAACTGGATATGAAGATACCGAATTCAAAAAAATTAGTGGCGCAGATTTTATTGGCAATAATATTCGGCCCCCGGGACGCCACTGGATTTCACAATTCCAATTCAATTATGACTCAAGCAGCCCCTTATGACAAAGAATATCATTGCCAAATTTTAAGAGAATCGGTGAAGGGATGTTTGAGATATCAATAAAAACCGTATTTTCATAAAGTTAAACACACTGTATCTTGAAAACTATGCATTTCCGGACCCACGTAAGGTAGTAGCTCGGGTAGTAGCATATATGGCCGGCCTCCACTATTATAATTTTGCTAATGAGAAACAAACAGTAAGTAATATAACATTTGAGCTATATGTAATATCAAAAACAAAAAATTCATAACAAAAAAACTATCTCTTGGGCCATATTTCAAAACCGGTATGATTGTATGGCAGATAGCGAGGCCGCAATAGTGCGAAATCTACCAAATCTTGACGCAAAATGTTATCTCAATATAACTGAAATAAAAACATAAAGTATGATGGATACCTTAGATACCTACTGTACTAGTTGGTCTCACAAACCGGAATGCAAGATGCGGTGTTAGAAGGGAGTATACCAAGCTACCCAAACACAGCAGCGATTAGATGCCAAACTTTTTTTTTTTTTTCTTGAAATGACTTGAAATTTCCATGAGGGCCATATAATCTCTCTGGCCATATAATATGGCTCCACTACCTTAAATATGAAATAAATTTCATGTTTTCTCATGCAGAATCACCCCCTTGATTTTTTGCGCATAATTTCCGGACACCCTGTATATAAGTTATACCTGCAATCGACATGGCCGGAATGAACAACGCCTCTTGCCCGTCCACCGTCACCGTCTGCATCGGCTGCATCAGGTTGTACGCCTGCGCGGCGCTCACCAGCTGCGCCCCCGCCTGCTGCTGCAACAGCTGTTGCTGCAGGTGCTGCGGCAGCCCGACGGGCACTTGCAGCACCTGCGGCTGCGTCGCCGTCGCCACCGTCACGCCCTTGGCGTTGCCCGGGGCGGAGGAGGCGGGCGTGGGCGTGGTCGACATGAAGGGGGCGGGGTGGGCGGAGGGGGCGTCACCGCCTGACGAGGTCGGGCCTATGCGGCTGCAGGTGGCCGCGAGGAGGGCGAGCGGGGAGGGGGTCGGCTTGGAGGGTTCCTGAAACGAAAAAAAAATCGATATTGATATTCATTGGAAGTCGCTGGAAGTCAATGGTGATCATTGGTATTCATTGGAAGTCACTGGTAGATATTGGTAATAATTATTATTCATTGGAAGTTACTGGAAGGCATTGGTATTCACTGAAAGTTATTGGAACTCACTGATGGAATTCACTGACAGTTACTAGAAGTCACTGGGTAGTCATTAGTTGATAATTATTATTTATTGGGAGTCATTGGCATTCATTGGAAGTCACTGGAAGTCAATGGTAATCATTGGTATTCATTGGAAGTCATTGGAAGTCACTGGTGGATATTGGTGATAATTATTATTCATTGGGAGTCATTGGCATTCATTGGAAGTTATTGGAACTCACTGATGGAATTCATTGGTAATCATTGGTATCCATTGAAATTCATTGGAAGTCACTGGAATCCATTGGTATTCATTGAAAGTCATTAGTAATCATTAGAATCCATTGGAAGTCACTGGAAGTCACAGGTAGTCATTGGTTATCATTGGTCTTCATAGGAAGTCATTGACATTCGTTGGAAGTCACTGAAAATCATTGGTATTTACTAAAAGTTATTGGAACACACATGATTGGTAAGTATTTATTGGAATTCATTGGAAGTCACTGGAATCAATTGGTATTAATTGGAAGTCATTGGTAACCCCTAGTATTCATTGGAAGTCACTGCTAGTCACTGGTAGTCATTGGTTATAATTGGTCTTTATGGGAAGTTATTGACATTTATTAGGAGTCATTGGCATTCATCGGAAATCACTGGAAGTCATTGGTATTCTCTGAAAGTTATTGAAACTCACTGATGGAATCGAGGATGGAATTCATTGGTACTCATTAGAATTCATTGGAAGTCACTGGAAGTCATAGGTAGTCATTGGTTATCATTGGTCTTCATAGGAAGTCATTGACATTCGTTGAAAGCTCGGTTGAAAGTCACTGAAAGTCATCGGTATTCACTGAAAGTTATTGGGACTCACTGATGGAAGTCATTGGTAATCATTGGTATTCATTGGAATTCACTGGAAGTCACTATGGTAGTAATTGGTCATCATTGATATTCATTAGAAATTAGAAGTCACTGTTAGTTATCGATATTCATTGGAAGTCACTGGAAGTGAATGGTAATCATTGGTATTCACCAGCAGTTATTGGAACTCACTGGAAGTCATTGGTGGATCATTGGTATTCATTGAAAGTCACTGGAAATTATTGATAATCATTGGTATTCGTTGGAAGTCATTGAAAAATATTGCCAGTCATTGGTAATCATTGGTAGTCATTGGTACTCAAGACTGATTGAATATTTTTCATTCAAATTCGGTATATGGTTTCATCTTCGAATGGGTCATTTTCTGACCAGAAAGTCATTCTGGACATTTTATCCAGTGGAGCACTACCAGGGGTTGTGGTTACTTTTCCTCCCATATTCTCTACGCCACTGATGAAATTTCGATAATTTCCAATTTCTCGAATTCATTGTTCGATTTTGTTCAAGAAATGCATTATCTTCAACTAAGCTGAAATGAACAATCCACTAGATATTTGATCCAAAATAGAAAATTACAGTTTGTTTTTTCTTTCTACATAATGAGATCTGAAAAGTATCTGATCTACTCAACACCAGAAAACTACACTCACCGGCAAAAAAAATCGGCCACCAAAAAATTCAGCCAAATTGATTGCCCTGTTACTTTTTCAATACTTATCCGATTTTGCTAAAATTTCGACCAAATCGAATATTCATGGTTCGGAATGTTAGCTAGAATATTAGGTTCTAAGAGAAGCTGATGTCTTGATCATTATACAGGAATCAGTACTCGAAATTGCAAAAAAATTCACTTATATTATTTCAAAATACATAAAATATACTTGGATATAAAGTCATTTTTCGAAAATGTAAAAATTATGATGTTTCCTGTCATGGAGTGGTGGTTGTTGATTCGGATACGACAAAAAAAATTTAGTGAATCAGGAAATCTCTGACTTATTTTGGTAAATTGAACAAATACATTTTACTTGCTTTTTCCATTGTTCCTATTTTCAGATCATTTTATATAGGTACATATATCAATTGTAACAAACAGAGAACATTTAACTGAATTATTCCTAATACAATAATGTGATGCGGCTGTTTCAATTTGAAGGCATTTGACCGCATTTGACCGTTAATCTCAACAAAAGTTTGACATGATGAGCGATATTTCAGAATCTCCTGTTCAACTCAGAGATGTAGATTAATTTCGCGTAAAAAACACCTATGCATGAATAACGGGAAATTATCTTTGGTCATGTTTTATGAAAAATAAACTCCCCGAGAATATGGCCCAATAATGATTAAGACAAAAAAAATTCTTCTAAACCACTTGTAGCGATCAGAAATTATTTACTATAACAAATATTACTACAATTTTGTGTGATTCGTTTCAAGTTTCCATGAGTGCATATAGCAATGAGAATTGTAGATCCCATTGAGTAGGATTCGAAGTATGTATGAGCGGAATGTTGAGCGGAAAAAATTGAAATCTGTCAATAAAGGTTGGCGCTGCTTAAAGTGGGACACACTGTAAGAAACTTGATAGGTATTTTAAGGCCACTTGACATCATCGTGTCATCTGGTGCTAGTCTGCTAGCCTGCTGGGCGTTTTATTCTACGTTTTCCCACACCACATAGCACATAGGTGGGTGGTCTCTATATAAGATACCAAGATCCGTACCTATATATAGTCGTCGAACAACAAATTTCTGACAAGTTGTTGAGGCGATGCAAAAATGCGAAAAGTATTTAATGCATGGCCGGGCGTAAAGTAGCATTTTACCACCTGGGTTCGAGGGCGTAAAGTGGCACTTTACCGCTCGCGACCTACTCTACTGCCCGTCCTAGTAACTCGTAATATATAGGCATTCATGTATTATTCAGGAGTTTCAGGACATTTATGTTTCAGCTGTGATGGTTATTCCTTGTCTATATATTACAGTTCTCTTGATATTTCTGAGATGGAAAATGATATGATCGAACCCAAAATAAGTTATCTGTATATCACAGAATGCCTCGCAGAATGCTTTAAGAATGTTCTGAAACATATTATTATGAGAACGTTCTTGGAACGTGAATTTTCGTCCCATTTGCATGTTCCTTGTGAGAATATTCTGAGAATATTCGATAGCTTCCACCGGAATATTCTAAGAACGTTCTCAGGACCACCTTGTGATGTCTGGGGGATGCGCCTGAACTGCCATCTTAGAAAAACTTTTTTTTTTCACGAACATTTCCCTAATTTACAGTTGCAACTTGCAACAACAAACTGGCACTAATCATCAAGATCATACATACACGAGTATAAACTACACAAAGTTGCCAAATATATCTACATAGTAGGTATAATCAAGACCGTGTATTGTTCCAAGTTTCAGGGCATACCTACTGATACTTTATTATGTTCTTTCATGTTAAAAATTGCGAAAATTCGACACCACTAGAAAAATTTTGATTGGCAACGAAGTAATATCAACTTATTAATTTTTATGAACAATTTGTACTCGTACCTACCTAGAGTCTAGACTCTAGACCTACCTCGACCTATCGGTACTATATTTTTATTCTCGTTTTTATTTTAATATTCTGATTGGAGACAATTTCGGGAAATGTATGAACCTAGTTGTAAAGCACTAGGTACCCTCTATGCCTCGGAAATATCCTGAGAACATCCCTGCCCACGTCTACGAATCATTGAGGAAGAAATGAGATGAGGAATGTGTTTTTGTCTTTTAACTCGTCTTTTTATCACTTCTCCTGGCCCGAAATAGGTAGTGGCTTGGGCAGTCGTTAATACCTAGTCCCCTCCCTAAAGTTATAGGCTGATGACCCCTTACATTACACCTCCCACACTGGTAGGAATAGGAATTTAGAACGTTGGAACTCTCGAAAGGGAAGCTGTTTTCACTTTTCAGTGTCTAGTGTAAGTTTAGTTGATCGAGTGTGAGTTGTGACGACGATACGACGATACAAAACTTCATCCCGAGCTCCCTTCATTCTCATTGATAATGTCTGTTGATTGATGATGACGATCTCGTGACGATTGATCTCATAACCGAGCTCATACCTATCTCATGATCTCAAGCTCAAAATGAATAGAGCATTGCATCAAGCATGTGTGTCTAAGCCTAAGCACATCACACTTCTATTCTCTCAACTGTCATCAAGTCATCAAGAGCAAACATGAGGCGAGGACTATTTATAAATAGACTTGTAAATAGAGATTATCTCATCTTATATTTTAGCGAGGATTTTTAGTCTACACGGGAAAAGGCATATAGGCAGAACGATCAACATGGGCAAAACACAGAACTATGCATCTGAACAATGTTAATAAAGTTACGAAAATTACTTTGAAAGTTATACCATGGTACCTGAACACATATACTTGCATATAAGTAGGTATGGGTACGGGTATAGGCGCGTATAGGTGTAGGTTCGGTGTAGGTATAGGTGACCACTATACCTACACCTATCCATAATGCCGTTGCTGTGAGAAACTGGTTGAATGATAATAATTATTATCCGAATCGCTGGATAGGACGAAATAGTCCTCTTATTCGTTGGCCGCCGAGATCCCCAGATATTACGCCTCTTGATTTCTTTCTTTGGAGTACGATAAAGAACAAAGTTCATGCTACAAGGCCTCAGAACAGACCCGAGAAGAGCTTTGTGACCGCATCAGAGAAGTATCACTAGAGAGCAGTTAAGAAGATTAGTGAACAATAATCGTCGACGTATTGAAAAATGCGAGGAAAAATGTATCAGAGAATTCGGTGGATTAATAGAACTGACTGATATTTAACATTTTTTTCAAACTAGCCTTTTCTGATTCTTCTATAAAATAGTTTTCACCTCGGTATTCATTGAGAAGAAGAAAAAAAATCAATTTATCATAGTTTTTATGTTTTTTTTTCTTGGGCTCCCTGCTCCCTGTGCAGAGTAAAGTTACCATCGAAACCATGAACTTTGGTACAGATATGTATAAAGTAATTTTCAATAAGAAACCATAATTAGTTCTTTCCGAAAATGCCACGATAGAGTGCATTTTTCTGATGAAATATTCAAAAAATAATAATTCTTTTTTCGGACATCCTGTGTTTTATGAAGATCAAAATCGGTACAGGTATGTTTGAAGTGATCCTGATTCAGAATCCATCATTATTTTTCCCTAATAGTACTTTTTGAAATATGAGCCAATGAAATTGGTCGCAGTTGGCTACGATAACAGTCCAAAAATAAAATCACTCTCTTGTTGGATGGACATTTCAAATACCTACCCAACAAAAAAAAGTTTTTCAAAATCGATCAGATAAAAACGATTTTGACAGGGGTGGTGAGTCCTTAGGGTGGACACACTGTATATAGGTTTAGGTATAGACGGGAGCAGGGTATAGGCGGGTATAGGTAAATACATATCTTTGTTACACCCTGATGTATATAGAAGGCTCTGCGATCTGTCCCTTCCTTTTCCTAGGATACGCCAATGTCGCCAATGAGTGAATGGAAATGTTTTATACCTAGGTAATACCTAATTATTGCGATTTCCGAGGCAATTTCTTAATTGGGTATTGGACATCATTATCTTGTAGGTAGATACCAAGGTTGGTAAAACCACTATTTTTTCGAATAATCATCAACTCTACCAACTTCGATACCCATCTAAATAATAAATCATCATTGGAAAATATCGAGGAAAATATTATCCATAACTTTTTTCGACTAGTTTATTCAGTCTTTTAATTATTATTGTTGGATGTGGTCTTGTGGTCACAGATTTCCTTTGAGCTAGCAAAGGAGACCGGCTTCGAGGATGATCCATATCCAACATCTATCTATTCCGGGCTCGACCTCCTCCTATCTAAACAGGGACAAAGCAACTCCCACACGGATAGCTGGTATACGCAGTGCACCGCCCCTGATCTTCACAGAAATGTGTCCACGTGAAAATAATGTTCTCGCTTACCTGTGCACAATTTTCAACGTATTCGACGCGAACCTCCTGCACCTCAGATGTCATAATTGTCCACAGATACCAGAAATAACAAGTGCATCGTTGAACCCGAGTATCGTATTTTTTCCACTGAGTGTAGGTAAAACGATGCCTGCGCGCCTAGCTAGCTACACAGTACACGTCAATCGATGTTCGCCTCCTTTGTTTTCCGTCTACGCACCACCTATTCGGAAATGCAAGAATTCACTTTGCGTTGCACTATTCGTCGCCGTGCGTTAATTCGATTTTTCGGACACTGTTAATTGACGAAATACGCGATTATTGGGCGTGCTTGAAATCGCTCAAAACTCCCTAGGCCGCCAGCCAGACACTCTGAATTTCCAATTACAGGCTGGGCAAAGGACGCAGAAACCACGCCATTCTGGGACTGGCTTTTGGTGGGGGGGATGCGGCATACGGTTTGCCTGGCAGTGAACGAACGGCTGCGCCGTGAAGACATAGGCGGGGCACGCGGTGGGCCGATCTAATATTGGGGTTCAGACACTGGTAGAATTTACGCCATATATCTATTTTATTTGGATCATTTCATGTATTTATAGCATTCGATGCATTCATTCACTATTCAAAATCATCACAAATATATATATATTGTTTTAATGAAAAAAATAATGACCTCTCCAAAATGCTAGCTGCTAACGATAATGACCATAATAATGCCATAATAATGCCAACAACTAATGAAAATATTTCCACATTTGACATGGAAAAAATGATTCACTTCCAATAGGAATGCACTGAAATACACAAAATAGATAAGTCGTATCCTATATATAAGTGCAATTGATTGATCGCGGTATATGTCGAATTTCTCATGACATGAAATATCGTGAATTTCGTTAAATACTCATAAAGTGTGCAGGCTCTGAAGAGAAAACGGTTTGCGACAGTGAAAAAGTTTGAGTTAGTATACTTCAAAATAATGTAATAAAATATTTCACTGAAACAGTGCCATTATGCAATGTCGATTTGTAGGTATAGCCCTTTTCATTTAGATGAAATGTCGAAACCCAAAAATGAAAGATTCACTCATGACATTGCCTTTGATTGTTATTGAAGCTGACAAAATGTCAAAACGAACCAATCTCGAATGATGTTTCGATGCAGATTTCGCCATTCTTTTTTAAATTGTTGGTTACGAAGATGTCATTGATGCACCAACGTCCATCAGTGTTGCCAATCTCACGGGATGATCAAATTTGCAGAAATAGACCATGAATATCATAGCCAACGTTGGTAGAAATAAGAATAGTCTATTAATCATTCCAGAATTACGTAATTTGTCAGGTCGTTGGCGGACGAACATTGTATTCTGTCATATGAAACCAGAAGTAATGGGCTTCCTCTTGGATCCCGAGTTGGAACCCAAATAAATTTCATGATTTTGTTTGGTCAATCTGTTATTGTATTCTGGATGTGGGCAGAGCTATGCTCATGAAAGGTAACCTAACAGATAGTTTGTGTGCCCTCCAAAAAACCGTGTCAAAATCACGTGTTCTAGATGGTCTTTTACCAGACTTACAATGACCACCATGCAAAAACATTCAATTAAGTACTATATATACCTACCAAAAATGTCCATCAGGTTAATGACTACCAAAGACTTCCATCAGTGCCTTCCAGTGGCAACCCAATTAGTACCAACGACTACCAAAGACTTTCAGTGACTACGAAAGACTTCTAGTGACTACCGCAAGTACTTTCAGTGACTGTCAAATACTTCCAATGCCTGCCAAAGAATTTCAGTGCCTATACGAAAGACTTACAGTCACTTTCTGTGACTTCCGGTGACTTTCAATTACTATCAAAGACTACCAGTGAGTTTCAGTGACCACCAAAAGCTACCAGTGTCTAACAAATACTTCCAATGACTTCCAATGATTTCCAATGACTTCCAGTGACGTCCAACGAAGTACATAAGTATACATTTTTGTAATTTCAAATTCCAAAGACGGTAGATGTTGTACCTATGGTTTTTCTACTAGATGTCCGATCTGGCAAAAAAATTATATTCTATTTTCAATATTTTCATTTTCACATTGGTATGGAAATATATCTATTTACATAGTCACATATACTCTTTGAATCAATGTTCAGTGGTTATGATGAAAAGAAGTAACAAAACGTTTATACAGAGTGGGCCGTTGAAAACGAAACAGAGGCTCTGTAGGTCGCCAAAACCGGATTATAAAAAAATCTGAAACACGTCAACTATATTTTCGGGGGGGACATCGTTCTAAAATATTTTCAGCCCTGCGGCGTTGCCGCTTCTAGAGAAAAGAAGCAACAACTTTGTTATTTCAAATGGAACACCATGTATTTTATTGCATTTTTAGATTCTCCCCGAAGAGCTGATTTCATCAATGCATCACACTTGGGGTCTAGCTGTGATGGTTTCAGGGATATAAAGTGTTCAAAATCGATATTTTTCAACTTTAGCATTTTTTTGTGTCGAAACTATTCATTATTGGTCAAAATGGCTTTCATGTCCCTATCTCAACTTGTGATTCACTATCTACTAACATTTAATTGGAACAGATACAGGGTGATCAGAATTCTGAATCTTGAACCACCCTGTATTTGTTTCAAATAAATGTCAGTAGATAGTAATTCATAAGTTGAGATAGGGACATGAATGCCGTTTCGACCAATAATGAATAGTTTCGACACAAAAAAATGGTAAAGTTGAAAAATCTCGATTTTGAACACTTTATATCCCTGAAACCATTACAGCTAGACCCCAAGTGTGATGCATTGATGAAATCAGCTCTTCGGGGAGAATCTAAAAATGCAATAAAATACATGGTGTTCCATTTGAAATAACAAAGTTGTTGCTTCTTTTCTCTAGAAGCGGCAACGCCGCAGGGCTGAAAATATTTTAGAACGATGTCCCCCTCGAAAATATTGTGTTTCAGATTTTTTTTATAATCCGGTTTTGGCGACCTACAGAGCCTCTGTTTTGTTTTCAACGGCCCACTCTGTATAATGCTATGATAAAATAATTATGAGGAATTATTAAGAGAAAAACGAGGAGAGTGTCAAAATTGTATCTGGGGGTATTTTTCAGTGACCACTATCGAATTTGATGTTGGTTTGTCTCTTTCGTGGGGGTGGCGCCACCTACATTTCTTCTGAGTCTTTTGAAAAGTCATTACTTTTTTGTGCTATAACTGTTTTCGAGGTATTAGGATTTGAAATATTCGATTCATTTGACATTTGAATTATTTCCAATTTTATACACGTACTTAAAAAATGCCCTGTATATACAAGTATACACATAATATTTAATTGGTGAGTAACAGGACCTCAACAAGAAATCCTTTCAGTTTTCACAGAATACCAAAGTGTAAAATAAACCACATATTGTAAATTTACATCGAACTCATTCCAATTTGATAAATACGCACTTATGCCTGTTCGATGCCACTGGACAATGGACATGTTGATGTTAATTGCAGCTCTTCTATAAATGCCCCAATAATTTATACTCGGCGACCCACATATCCGCAACGAGCCTAACAGGTGCAATCAGTGTGCATCTGCAGCCAGGCAACGGCATCTGATAATTCTCGCGCCACCACTGACCTTCGCTGAGGGCCTTCTCCAGCGTCAGATGGTCCCAGCGCCGCGGGCTAAGGGGCGTCGGCCGTCCGTGTTTGCGTCCTCCCACCGCGCCCCTCGGGGGTGAGAAACCCCGGTCCCTGCCCTGCCGACTGGTTATCGTTATCGAACAGTCGAACCGTTCGAACACTCGAACAGTTGAACGTGAACGTGAAGGTATGAGCAGGGTTGCCGTCTTGCCGGTTTTGTCGTTAAATCTAGAGTTTTTAGGGTAGGTGAATACGAACGTATCGGAATTCTATCGTTTTCAACATAGTCATAGCGTTTTACTTGATTCTTTGGGATTTTCTCTCCTCGCTTCTGTAAAATAAAAGGATTCGTATTGTTTCAAAATATTTGTAGTGGGACAAAACAGATGATTTGCCCCAAAATGTCACTGCGTTTAACAAATTTTTCTATCAGGGAGTCTAAAAGAAACATCCAGTAGCTTGACAGTGACAATTTGTTTGAAAAAATGTTTGGAGGAAAGAAATATAGATATATTGAAAAAATATCGAATATTTACTTATCTTTGGACGTTTCGGGACCGAATCTGCTCCCGCTCTCAACATATAAATGCAAAATATTTTTCTTCGAAAGTTTTGCTACTTATTATAGTTTGACACTTTTCAGTGTCATACTGATGTTGGCATATGAATGAGTGATTTCAGCCTACAAATGAGTTACAGGATGATTTCATTAATTGATCTTGACTCTACCATTTTCATGTTCAGTTTTCAGTAGTGAATACCCATGTTCTATCTATATCAACTGAACAGGAAGCAATGCTATTGTCTCCGTTTAGAAGAATACAAGCGGATCCCTTGATTTTTCTTTTTTGGTTGTTATCTTCCTTTCCTATGATTTTGATATTATTCCACTCTGCCATATGTTGTCCATCTTGAGTAAGGATATGTTCAGTTTATCGATATATCTTTTCTTGATATTGTACTTGTGTTCTTTAGTCCTTACTGAAAGAGGTCTTTTCGTTTCATCTGTATAATACTCTCTATAAATACAAGGTATGCTATAAATACAATTTTTTGATGATTGTTCTTTATATGAAATAATACGAATATTTTTATTTTATAGAAACGAGGAGAGAAAATCCCAAAGAATCAAGTAAAATTAATATACCACCTCCTCGATTAACCTATACAGGCAGTATAGTCATAGCGGTTCATATGGAGATATTTTGATCACATGAATTATTGATGACGACGGATATGAATAATTTACATTGAAACATTCGAGACGAAGAGATAAGCAGAGAAGACATTGACAGACGACAGGGTTTGTTTTCATCATATGGTGAAACCTTAGCCGTGGCCGTGGCACTTGATATCTCCAAAGCATTCGATCGAGTCTGGCACCACGGACTCCTCGCCAAGCTTCCATCTTATGGCTTGCCTCCCCCAGCTATGTTCTCTGCTAGCTAGTTTTCTCTCAAACAGGTCTCTCCATGTAGTGGTCGACGGAGTTTCATCTGGCTCTCTTATCATTAATGCTGGTGTTCCCCAAGGATCAATTCTAGCACCAACACTATTTCTACTCCATAAAACGATTTGTTGAAAGCAACTTCATGTCCAGTACACAGCACAGCTTCGCGGATGATAGTACCCTTCATACCGCCTTCTCCTCCAGGGCTTCAATACCTGCCAGGCAAATCAGAAACGAACGAGGAAGAAATGTTGACAACATAAATATGGACTTGGCAACAATTCTCGCATGGGAATCCAATAACTTGGTATAGATTTCTATGCAAACAAAACACAAGCATGCCTTTTCTCTGAAAAGTCGACCTCACTGTGC